GTATATAGCAGCGAGCCTATATATCCATAGCTATCTACATATATCCGTATATCTACATAGATATATATATATCTACCGCAGATACGTAGATAGATATTTATATATAGCTTTATTTCGCTATACATATACCCACATACACACATAGAGATATATAGACACATGCATACAGACATACATATACACATATATAGAAACATAGATAAAGATACAGACATATACATATATACATATACATATATAGAGAGAGACATAGGCAGAGATGGATAGGGGGGAGATAGGAGAAAGGTGGTGTTTGGCGGGTGAATGGGTGGGTGGGTGGGTGGTGGCTACGGTGCGGCACCTGTGGCATTTCGCCGAATGATGGAAGGGGGGGGGGAAGGGGGGGAGGGGGAGGAGGGCCACCAGCCCACCGCCCCAACTCCTGCCACCACACACACACAGACACGCACACGCATACACACACACCTCACCACAGCCACTAGCCTCACCACAACCACAACCACCACACACACACACACATACACACACATACTCTCTCTCTCTGTCTCTGCCATGCCCAAGAAGCTCTACCTGCACTATGAAGGCACTCCCGACTTTACCTACATCGCCCAGGTGGAGGCCGGAACTACCGTGGCTGCCCTTGCTGCCTCCTTTGCCACCGCATACGCCTCCGCCCATCCTGCTGCTGGGCTCACGGGTCTAGTCCTCACCAATGACGAGTACGCCCCGTCTGTCTGTCTCTCTCTTTCTCTTTCCTCCTTCCTTCCCTCTCCTCCCTCTCCCTTTCCTCCCTACTCACCCCACCCCTCCCACAGTGGCCTCCCGCTCGCCGATGCAGACCTCGAGGATCTGGACGCGGGCGATGACGTCCTGATCGAGGCGGAGGTCAGCAAGCCCCAGACGTCACAGCAGAGCCCGGCTCTATCCCCTTCCGCCCCGTCGGCTTCTGTGTCTCCTGCGGCGTCTACTTCTGCTCGCCACACGGCCGCGGCGGCGGTGGCCCAGGCCGCGGCGTCGTCGTCGTCGCAGGCGGCCAACATGTCGACGGCGGTTGAAGTCGTCTCGCGGTCGCTGACCACCGCTCAGGCACTCACGGCCAAGAAGGCGTACCGCCGCGCCATTGAGGTCTATGAGCAGATCATCGCAGCCATGCCGCAGCTCCCGCAGCCGTACATTGGCATGGCCCAGATCTTGATCGCCATTCGCGACTTTGCGGCAGCGACGAACATTGCCGATCGCGGCCTAGCCATGCTGGCAGAGAGCCCACCGCTCCTGGCTGCCATCGGCCTCGACGTGGCGCAGGCCCGTATCTCGCTCCTTCGCCTTAAGGCCTCAGCTCTCGGCGACGCCAAAAAGTACAAGAAGGCCATTGCTGTTTTCACCGACGCCCTCGAGCTCGCCGACAAATCCGACAAGGCTGCTGATGCTCTTGACATCCAGGTCGCTATCGGCGAGGTCCTCTACGCGTCTGGCGAAGAGGACGCTGGCATCACCCTCTTCCAGAATGTGCTCAAGATCAACGAGTCGCACTTTGACGGCCTTTACAACTTTGCGATTGCCTGCGGCGACCGTGGCCGCCCGCTCGAGGCCCTCAGCGTCTTCCTGAAGCTGTTGGTGGCAGAACAGAAGCACAAAGGCGTCCGTGCCCGCATCACCGACATCGTCATGGCCGACGGTGGTATGGACCTTCTCGACGCCGCCATCCAGGACGCCGCAAAGTCACCGGCAGCGCTCGCCTTTTTGGGCCTGCTCATCAAGGAAAACTCGGCGCTCGACAGCTCAGTTGCGCTTTACGAGCGCGCACTCGCCGGCGCGCCAGACTCGGCCTCGTATGTCCTTAATCTGGTCCACGGCTACGAGATTTGCGCTCAGTACGGTCAGGCATGGGCAGCAGCTATGAAGTTCTGTGCTGCCAACTCCGCGCTCGGCGTGGGCGGCTTGACCTGTGCCCGAGTTCTCAAGGCGCTCGGCGGTCTCAGCTCGCCGATCGGGCTTCCCACGGCCTCGGCCTTTCTACCTGACTCGGACATTGTTGCGGCTGCTGGCTGTAGCTACGACCCTACGCTTCCATACAACACGCTCGAGCTGGTGGCTGGCGGTACAAACCTCTCGGACTCGCCGGCGACCGCTGCCGGCATGCTTGATGACGCCGAACTGGTCGAGGTCATCGGGTACGACGCCCGTGAACTGGACCTCCTTGCTCTATTCTGCACCTTGGTCAAGATCCTGTTTAACGTCGGCGCTCTCCCGCCCACCGCCGCGCTCATCCCACTCATCGACGAGATCCGTGGCACGCGCCCCATTCACCGGACTACCATCCGCAACGAGCATGCGTATTACTGCTGTATTGCCCAGCTTCTCGCGTACCCGACTTCTGTGCCGGATCCGGAGATGCCAGTGGTGTACGTTGCCGGCGACTCGCACTCGCAGACGCCCGCCTGGCGTGTGGTCGCCCTCAATGGCACTCCGCACCTCCTCGTACCCCGCCTTGTCACCGGGCTCAAGATTTGGCACCTGCGCGAGGAATCGCGATTCTACCCCAAAGCCAACTTTTGGCGGGTCATCGACACCATTCCCGACGGCGCCACTGTTCTCACTATGTTTGGCGAGATTGATTGCCGCGAGGGCTTCCTCGTCGCCGTCGCCAAGCGCATCTACGAGACCGTCGAGGAGGCTGCCCGCGTCACCGTCAACATCTACATCAAGACCATGCTCCGCCTCGTCAATGACCGCAAGCTCACATTCCTCGTCCATCCGGCCGTCCCAGTCCTCAACGAGACCCGCTCGGTAGTCACCATGTTCAACACCGTGCTCGGCGCCAAGCTGACACAGCTCAATCATGCGTCGATCAAGTGGCTGCCGTTCTTCGACGCCATGCTTGACCCGGCTGACAGCTCGGCGCTCAACCCCGCCTTTGAGCTCGACGGAACTCACCTCAACCCGACGTACCTCGACGTGCTTCAATCCGGCCTTGATGCTGCTCTGGCCAACTCTACTTCATGAGGTAAGACCGCAAGTGCGCAATGCTCTGCGGCTGCTTCACGCTGATGGTGTTGATGACCCGCACAGGCGCCGCACCGACGTTGATCTGCGTCAAGTACGTCACCATCGTCTGGCTTGGATCGTCCGCCAGCGGCTTCAGATGCCAGCCAGAGGCGTAAACCTCACCGCGGACCACCGACTCGTCCTCGGGCTTCTCCGGCACCGTAATCGAGCGACCGGCAGCCACAAAACTCCCGTCCGCCGCCGCAGCTTGGTGCAGAACAACCACAAAGTCCCGCGCGTGTGTCAGCAAGCACGCCTTAGCCTCGTGCAGCATCCACACAACCCGTGTCTGGTCATCGATCTGGTTGATGATCGAGTAGTCGCGCAGCAGCCGGTCATACTCGAGTCGGTGTGCCATGTTGCACAGCGTAGTGTAGATTGTTGCCGCAGGCAGTGGAATAACGCCCTTGCCCAGAAAAGCGTGGATTGAGTAGCCTGGTACACGCTTGCGGAACGTCACCACATCGTTCTTGTCGTTGACATACGACCATCCGTGGGCTTCGGCCACACTCTTGGTCTCCTTGTAGTTGCTTGGTGTGACCGCGGCCATGCTCTCTGCTGTGTGCTGCACATCGAGCGCCGCCATCATGCCGGTTTGCCGGATTGCTGCCAAATGCTCCGGCAAGGCCGGTATCGGGGCCTCGGTTTCGTTATTGGCCGCAGCCTGCTCGACCTCCTCCTTGGCCGTGTCGTCGTCGATCTTCAACACAGTTGGCGGAGTATTAGCAACTGCCGGCGGTGGTGGCGGTGTAAAGACGTAGTCTTCAAGCGGCATGTTTGCCACAACCGACCGCAGCCCATCGATGCACATCGGTGCCTTGGACGTCGCTTTGTTCACCACAGATGCCGGCAGCGAGCCCGCAAGATCCACTTGCGCCGCATACGTCGCTCGGCACTGCAGCGGCTCGCCCTCCACAGGCTCGAGAATCCACCCGCCAATCTCCACCCGTGCTCGTACATGAGACTTCTTCGGCTCGCACACCGCGTCGTCCACAGAGAAAAACGCAATCACAATCGTCCCGTCCTCGTACTCCTTCTCGTGCTGGAGCGTCAGGAAGTCCCGCGCCGTCGTTGGCCACACTCGCTTGAACGACGAGTAGTTGAGCATTGTCCACTCGTCGAGCTCTTCCACAGTGTATGCGTCGTCAAGCATGTCGTCGTACTCGCCCTTGCGCGAGATGTCACGAACGACCTCGGCGATCGCCCTCGGCGGCGCGTTGATCATCCCGGTCCCCTTGACCTGCTGCAACGGCGAGCCATCGACGGTCTTGCGGAGAATAACCACGTCATTGGCCTCATGGAATGGCTCCCAGCCGTTTGGTGTGTTGACCATGTCACGGACCTGGTCGTGTGACTCGAGGCAGATAGCCGCATACCGATGTGTGGGTGTGTAGCCCGAGTCAACGCCCCATGTCGTTCGGGTCCTCTGCAGGCGCCGGCAACGATCCAGGATCATCCGCGTCGATCTTCAACACAGTTGGCTTGATGACGCAGCCGGTACAGGCGGTGGTGGCGGTGTAAAGACGTAGTCTTCAAGCGGCATGTTTGCCACAACCGACCGCAGCCCATCGATGCACATCGGTGCCTTGGACGTCGCTTTGTTCACCACAGATGCCGGCAGTGAGCCCGCAAGATCCACTTGCGCCGCATACGTCGCTCGGCACTGCAGCGGCTCGCCCTCCACGGGCTCGAGAATCCACCCGCCAATCTCCACCCGTGCTCGTACATGAGACTTCTTCGGCTCGCACACCGCGTCGTCCACAGAGAAAAACGCAATCACAATCGTCCCGTCCTCGTACTCCTTCTCGTGCTGGAGCGTCAGGAAGTCCCGCGCCGTCGTTGGCCACACTCGCTTGAACGACGAGTAGTTGAGCATTGTCCACTCGTCGAGCTCTTCCACAGTGTATGCGTCGTCAAGCATGTCGTCGTACTCGCCCTTGCGCGAGATGTCACGAACGACCTCGGCGATCGCCCTCGGCGGCGCGTTGATCATCCCGGTCCCCTTGACCTGCTGCAACGGCGAGCCATCGACGGTCTTGCGGAGAATAATCACGTCATTGGCCTCATGGAATGGCTCCCAACCGTTCGGTGTGTTGACCATGTCACGGACCTGGTCGTGTGACTCGAGGCAGATAGCCGCATACCGATGTGTGGGTGTGTAGCCCGAGTCAACCCCCATGTCGTTCGGGTCCTCTGCTGGCGCCGGCAACGATCCAGGATCATCCGCGTCGACCTTGTCTGCGTTGAGGCTTGATGACGCAGACGGTACAGGCGGCGATGGCGGGGTAAAAACGTAGTCTTCAAGCGGCATGTTTGCCACAACCGACCGCAGCCCATCGATGCACATCGGTGCCTTGGACGTCGCTTTGTTCACCACAGATGCCGGCAGCGAGCCCGCAAGATCCACTTGCGCCGCATACGTCGCTCGGCACTGCAGCGGCTCGCCCTCCACAGGCTCGAGAATCCACCCGCCAATCTCCACCCGTGCTCGTACATGAGACTTCTTCGGCTCGCACACCGCGTCGTCCACAGAGAAAAACGCAATCACAATCGTCCCGTCCTCGTACTCCTTCTCGTGCTGGAGCGTCAGGAAGTCCCGCGCCGTCGTTGGCCACACTCGCTTGAACGACGAGTAGTTGAGCATTGTCCACTCGTCGAGCTCTTCCACAGTGTATGCGTCGTCAAGCATGTCGTCGTACTCGCCCTTGCGCGAGATGTCACGAACGACCTCGGCGATCGCCCTCGGCGGCGCGTTGATCATCCCGGTCCCCTTGACCTGCTGCAACGGCGAGCCATCGACGGTCTTGCGGAGAATAACCACGTCATTGGCCTCATGGAATGGCTCCCAGCCGTTTGGTGTGTTGACCATGTCACGGACCCGGTCGTGTGACTCGAGGCAGATAGCCGCATACCGATGCGTGGGAGCGTACTCAGGCACAGCCTCTGTCATCACCTCTTGCATCAGCTCCGTGCGCTTCTGTGGATCGTCTCTCCTGGACACCGAAGAAGTGTGGGCGGCGACGGCGGTGGCCGCGATGACCGCACTCGCACCCACAGCACCACTCGCCGCACCATGTGCAGTACTCCCCGAGCCCCGAGCCGACCGGACGGGCTTCTGTCGAGCGATCCGCTCCAACTTCTTCTCCACCTCGCTGTATCTCTCACAATAAGTCTGTGCCCATCACCACATAAGCTTTCCATGGCATGCCGGTGGGGGGGGGGGGAGGTCGAAGGTCGGCTCGTACCGTATGCGACCGGCGTGCATGGTGTGGACAGAAAAGGCGGTGGCAGCAGCAGCTAGCCCTGCCGTGGTCATGCATAGGAGAACAAGGAGCCACCAAGCGATCTCCATCCTTCGGGTGGGGTCGGGCTCGTCTGAGATGAGTGTGGCTGCGGGCTGAGGGACAAGGCCTGTGACTCATTCTGTGCCTTCGCCGCGAAGACACGGCCATCAACACGAGGGGATGACAATGGGAGTGCCACCGATGGACGACATGGTCTTATACACATGCTAACAGTGGGTATGATGGTGTTACTTGGTGGTTGGAGCTGAAGATGGGTGTGGTCACAGCCTTTGTCAACATCATCACCATTGTCGCCATTGTCGCCAACGTCGACATCGTCGTCGAAGGACTGGCCATGACTGTTGTCGAGTGGCATGCCCCAGATGAAGAAGCGCAGCTGTAGTCATCGGTGCAGAGGTGTCAGACCAAACATATGCCGGATTTCCCTTTCTCTCACCCTGTGTCGCTTCCGACGATTCGGTGCACACTGTGTGGCATTAGTATCGCTTCATGGACTGGTTCCGTCAAAGTAGAGGCGATCGGCAGCCACGACAGGGCGAGTCCGGGACACGCCTTCGTGATAGCGCAACCGCTGGAAAGTGAGTGACTTGATCCGGGCTGCATCGCGCTCGGACGCGGCTTTGTTGGCAGCAGCAGCGACCTCGGCGTTGTGGTTGTTGATCTTGCGGATGCGCGCAGTCCGAGTCTCACGAGCAATGGTTGCCTCTGTTCGATCACGGTCCGAGACAGGCGACGACAGATATGATGTGCGGTATGCCTTGTCTGGCGAGAGGTAGAACGGCGAGATTGGCGAGGGTGAGAGGGTGGCGCCTACAAGACTCCGTCGACGCTCGCGGACTGAGCGCCGAAACCGTCGCCCACCCTTCTCGGTCTCGGCTCTCCGGCTGCGGTGCCGTCGCAGCTCGGCGCCTGCGCCTGCCTCTCTGATCGCCAGCACCGACTCTGACCGCCGCACCGCAGCTTCCACTCCATCATCTTCAGAGTCTTCATCCAAACGATTGCGGTAGAGACTGGTGTGGAAGGGTGGTGAGACCGGGCGATTCCGCCGCCACGTCCGCTTGCCAACGGCTCGAGCAGGCTCGCGCTTCCTTGCCATGGACGGTAGAGACCTCTGCTTCTTGTTGACTGACGCTGGTGGCCGTCTCCGTAGCCGTAACACCTTTGGTCCATGCGTCGACGCTATTGGTGTGTACATATGCCTGTCGTGTTCACGACGAGTGAGTCGAGAAGGTGTCCGTTGGACGGTCATTGGTTGATCACTGCTCAGTCGGGGCTAACAGAGAGTTGCACGAGAGCAGGTACCAGAAACGTTGATGTAATGTTATGGAGAAGATGAAAGCAGGTTACGAGACAACGGCTTCGCGCAGCTCGGCAACAGCACGACCAGTGCCGGCGCGTGAAGCCTGCTCGCGCTGATCGATCCGAAGCTTGACTGACATGTCGACGAGGAGTGAGAGATCGTAGATGAGAGCGGCAAAGGCAGCAAAGACAGCAAGCCAGCCAAAGTCTGGCGAGGTAGCGAGGGAAACGGCAAAGATGGTGTGCGGAACAAGTCGGAGAAAGACTGACCCGGCGATAGCAGCGACCCATGTGAGGATGTACCCGAAACGTGGGATCGGCGACGAGGCGAGACTCGTGCCGCGCGCGCGGACAATGGTTCGCACATCCATGGCAACGCTGCCGATGTCGCCCAGCATGAACATGGCCAGCGAGCCAACACCAAAGCCAGAAAAGGTGACAGCCCATGCCCACGGCTGGATGAAGAACAGAACCAGCGCGCGCCATGATGCCACCCCGCTACGGAGCATGACAACAAGCTCGCCGAGGTAGAGTCCGGCACCCGCCAGCACCGCGAAGCCATGAGCGGTTTCGCGCGCATCGTGGCCATGGCCACGCGCGACAGCAGCAGGTTCGGCGGCAGCGAGGGCGACCCAGGCAAGGGCAAGACCACTCCAAAGAAAGGCATGGACCTTGTGATGACCACCGTCGCCGACGGTGTTAAAGCCAGCAACGGCAGCGGCAAGCGCTATCGGCATGATGAGCATGTGCAGCCCGGCATGGGCCGCACTCGACGCCACCGCCACCATCCAAAGCGACACCACAAATGGTGCGACCCAGGCCAGGCGCTTGTTGCGCGGCTTGGCTCGATCTTCAGCGAGTCCGGGGAGGGGCAGTTCATCTGTTGGCGGCGCTGGCGCCTTCTTGACATACCGAAGATGCCAGTCGTGGATGGCGCCTTGCGCAAAGCCGACCTCGCAGTACGCAAAGTAGAACTCCCACATCTTGACGAAACGTGTACCGAGTGACTCGGTGAGAGAGGCACGATGAGATAAGAAACGCTCCCGCCACATCCGGAGAGTGATGGCGTAGTCAGGCCCGATGTCGTCGACAGACTCGAGCTCCAAGCTCGTGTCGCCAGTCGCCCAAGCCAGCGCGTCAAGGCACGGCAGGTGGCCGCCCGGGAAGATGAACCGCCGGATAAAGTCCGATCCACGCATGTACGCCTCATACCGGCTGTTGGGCAGGCCAATGACCTGGATCAGTGCACTGGCGTCCGTGTTGGGCTTGAGCATGCGGTCGACAACCTCAAAGTAGCCCGGAAGGTGCTCGTGGCCAACAGCCTCAAGCATTTCGATCGAGACAACTCGATCAAAGCTGCCTGGCAGCTGCAGCGAGGTCGGGACCGGGAGTTCGTCATCGGCGCCCACCCGCTTGGAACCGAGTCCCATCAGCCGGTAGTCACAAAGGCAAAGCTCGATGGATGCGTCGAGGCCGAGGGCAGTGACCCTCTTCTGCGCAAGCGCAAGCTGCTCACGCGAGATGGTGATGCCAACGAGACGGATGCCGGGAATGGTCGACGCAGCCCGGATGGCAAATGAGCCCCAGCCACACCCGATCTCCAGAATCGAGTCGCCAGGCTGGATGCCAGCGCGCGCGATGACTGCGTCGAGTTTGGCCAGCTGCCCCGCCTTGAGCGGGAGCTCCGGCGTTGCGTCAAAGTCCCAGTCGGCGGGGCCGAAACGGCGCGCCTCGCACGCGGTAGTGTGAATGCCAGACGAGTACGACATAGTGTCGTCGAGGAAGAGCTCGTACATGTCGTTGCCAAGATCGTAGTGCTCTTCGATGTTTTCACGCGAGCCACCAATCGTGTTGGACCGGAGCTGATGCCGCATGTTGTTGACCGCATTTCCTGCGCAGTACAGCGCCGATGCCGCGGCCAGGGTGGGCATACCGGCCACGAGCGCAGCCAGAGGGCCGGCGTCCAGCAGTTCGGTCGCCCGCCCGAGGTTGTGAGTCATGATCTCCAGCAGCGCCACCAGGCCTGCGTCAGCCACAAGTTTTTCCGTGCTCGGCCCTTCCATGCTTGCGTCAGCCGGCGCACTCCTGCTGACCACGATCTCAGCCACGTCAAACATGCCGCGCATGTAGGCATCACCCAGCCCGATGTCCGAGTCACAGACTACCATGGAGAGCATGTCGGCGTCGTGGATCCAGAGGACAACCGCTCGTTCGCCGGCGTCGACTGCCTTGGCTGCCGTTGGGTGGCCGAATTGTCCCAGCTCCGAGCCTGACGGGAGTACCACCCGCATGTGGCCGTGGGAGATGCTCTGGTCGAGCACCTGCTCAAAGAGACGCACATGCGTCGTTTGCGTCCAGTTTAGGCCTGAGTACGCCATCTCTCGCTTATGAAACTTGCTGTGAGTGCCTGTAGGTGGTGCTGTCGACAGGTGTAGCAAGCAATCGGCTTTGACGAGCCTGTCGTGCAGTGCGGGACAAGCCGTGACAGCGAAAAAGGCAGCGCGTGTACTCCTTTTCTTTGTTGTTGTTGCTGATTTCAACGTTTCTGGCTGACCAGGCGCGAGGTAGGAGGCCCAGTGTTGTTTCGGCCTCAGCTGCGGTCGGGCGAAGTGGCTGTGGCGGCCGTTTCGAGTTCGTCGGCGTTGACGATCTGGATAAATGTGTCCTCGAGGGTGGTGCGCGAGAGAGACCAGTCGAGGATGCACAGCTCGTCCTGGACGGCGGCGACATCGCGGAAGATCGAGGCAAGCGGGACTCCTAGCCGCGGGACCGAAAACACCATGCGGCCGCCAAAAGCATGGACCAAGTTTGCCGCAGGCAGCAGATCACGCACAAAGGTCCGGAGCGCGGCAATGGCGTGGGCGTCGTTGGTCGTGACTAGCGTCAGCCGGTACCCAGAGCCAAACTCGTCCTTGAGCTCGCGAGGCGTGCCGCAGCAGATGAGCCGGCCACGTGACATGATGCCGATGGTGTCACAGAGACGCTCTGCCGTTTCCATCGAGTGCGTGGTGAGGACGAGGGTTCGAGAGTTCTTGATCCGCGCGAGCACGTCCCAAAGCGCACGCCTCGAGCCAGCATCGAGGCCTGCCGTCGGCTCGTCCAGGAAAAGGATGCGCGGCGAGCCCAGAAGCGCCACTGCGAGCGTCAGCCGCCGCTGGACGCCAGCCGAGAGCGTAGCCGCCCTCGATGCGCGCATCTGCGGCGCGTTGAGCTGCACTTGGGCCAGTGCAGATGCCACATGGGTCTCCAGGAGGTGAGGAGGGATGCCCCGGAGCCGCGCAAAGAATCGCACGTGCTCGACCACAGTGAGCTCCGGCCAGAGGACGCAGGTCTGTGGACAGACTCCGATGAGCGGCGCGATAGCGTCCGGATTGTCGGTCACAGCATGCCCACCCACAAGCACCACTCCTGAGCTCGGCTTGAGAACTCCCATCAGCATCTTGATCAGGGTCGTTTTGCCGGCTCCGTTGGGCCCCAGCAGGCCAAAGACCCGGCCACTGATGTTGAGCGTGAGGTCCTCGACCGCGTGCTTGGCACGCCGGCCAGAGGTGTACGTCTTGCACAGCCGCTCAGCAACAATGACAGGCTCGCCGTTGAGATCCGGCTCCCACATTGGATCCGCTACCCACGCTGAACCGAGCTCGGGCTCGCCACCAGACGAGTGCGATCCATCAGCGGATCGCACCTCTCGCCCAAACCCGAGCGCCTGTCGTCGCGCAGAGTCCGCAAACGCCCGCAGGCCTGCAAGTCGCGCCTCGCGCGCGTGAGCCGCGTTCCGTTCCTCACGCACAAGGACAGAAGTAAGCGCAGCGTGGACTCGTCTTGGTGAGCTGGCCTCGTCGTCGCCCCACAGCTCGCCGTGACTTGGTCCACCGCTTGCACTCTTCCGCGAGCAGCAGAAGAGCCAGTGTTTGGCAATGCCGCCGCCGCGGAGCGGGAGAACCCGGTTGAGGTACAGGCCGCACGCCATGAGCGCAACCGCTTCCACAGCCAGCATGCCCAACGAGAGCACCAGCTTGGACTTGAGCCGGCTTGCCGAGGCCATCGCGCCGAGCGATGCCGCCGTCTGATAGCCCATGCCGTTCGAAACCAGCATGTACTGGTTCCACAAGAAAAGCGCTCGCATAAACGCAGCTGGCGGAAAGACGAGCAAGAGGTAGGCCGGCCAATCCGAGGTCAGAGCCTGGGTCTGGACAGCCTGCTCAAAGGCCGGAGCCAGAAAGACCGCCACGTACAGCACGGCGCCGGTCATGCGCGTCGACGAGAAGACCGCAGAGAGGACCAAGGCGAGGCCGACCAGTGTCACGCCCCACAGCAGCGAGATGCCCAACGTGCCGCCGAGACCGTAAGTAAAAAGCGGGTCACCCGACGCGATGCCGAGGCCGAGGCAAAGGAGCATGATCGGAACATACTCGGCAAAGCTGAACGCCACATACGCCGTCCAGTACGTTGTTGCTTGCAGACCGTACACTCGCATGTACTCGAGATACGACGAGGCACGCTCTTCCACAAGCATGCACGCAAAGAGCGGGAGCATCCATGAGAGCGCTTGGCCGTACATGGCGTATGTGCCGGACCACAGAAGCCAGGACGGGACCGCCAGCGCGTCGTTGGTCGACGGTAGGGTCTGGTACGCGGGGTAGATGGCAAAGGTAGCGTTGAGTGCAGCTAGCAGAGGTTCCGCAAGCATGCCGAGCATCTTCATCCCACGCGCACCGCCGTCGACAACCGCAAACAGATCCATCGACGGGCCAAACTGAAGCGTTGCCGCCACAGAGAGGGTGTCGGTTGCCCAGCTGACGTTGTGGAGCTCGAGGGCACCAAGCGGAAGCGAGTACGCAAAGTCAGCCGCATGTGCCTTGGAGACAAAGCCTGCAGACTGGGTGGCGGCGGCGGCGGCGCGCTCGGCACGATACATGGCGTCCAGGAGAGCATCGACGTCAGCCGGCGATGATCGGGGCTCCATGAATGGGATCTCGCCACCGCTCGAGCCGTTGGCAAAGACAAACGGACGGCGACTCAACGAGGCCCACTGTGGAAGTCGAGAGCTGTCGTCTCTGCCGGCTGCGCTTGTTCTTGACTCGTTCCTTGTGGGAAAGGGGCCGAGGTCATGAGCTGACGGTGTGGTGACCACCCAATCGTAGGTGAGCGACTCGGCGAGATAGTGCGGGACAGGCGGCGGCGGCGGTGACGAGAAAGCCGTGAGCGCCGCCAAGAGAGTAGGCAAGAGGAGCACAAGGCCCATGGTGTAGAGAGGGAGTAGGATGTGGCAGGCTGTGACTCCGCGAGCCCGCAGCCGCACAAGCGTCCACCGTGTGACCAGCGCCCGTAGCTGGTGCCGCCATACCCCGGCCATCCTCGCCGGCCTTGGGTTGGCTCTGGTCCTTCTCCAGCCTTCCTGCTGTGGCTAATGGTGAGAGGAGCTCACGAGCCGGGTTCTGGAGACGAGAAGTGTTGCCGTGTTGGTCCTGCTGAGGAAGTCTAGCCCGCTCTGCTGACCCTTCCGCACGTGGTCGCTCTCGAATGACCCGCGGCTGATCATTGCCCGCTCGCGCGTGACTCGAGCGGTCCCGCAGCGTAGACGCCCTCTCCTTGCCTGTTTTGAAGATGTTGAAGGTGTTTGTTTGCTGTTGTGGGCGCATTGCGTTGGAGGACAAAGCTAGAAGAGCGCAAAGTCCTCACCGTCATCGACGTCGAGATCGGCCTCTTCTGAGTAGTCGTCGTCAGCAAGCTCGGGCGCGTTGCCGACAGAGATGAGCGGGACGCCGTTGAGGAGGTTCTCCAGCTGATGCTGGACCTTGCACTCGGAAGTGTTGAGGCGGTAGACCTCGTGCCAGCGGATCTTGCCAAACTTGTCGATGAGGAAGACGTGCGGAAGGTTGAGGACCGACTTTTGGATGAGGTCCTTGATGGCCCCGACCACGGCCTTGCCAGCGTCCCACGCCACCGTCATGCCGGCCTCCTTGAGCGGGGCGGCGACAGCGTCGTACTTAGGCTTGGTGAGGAAGCCGCGGGCATAGTCCTCTTGCGGGTCAGCCGAGATGGCTGTGATGTGGATCGAGTCCTCGTACTTGTGCTTGAGCCCGCGGACGGCGTAGTGGACCGGGTACCCAGCCTTGTCCCACTTGGCCCAAAAGTAGAGCACGTTGACCCGCCCCGGAATGATGGCCGGCTCGGTGCCGACCAGATACACCAGCGAGTCAAGCGGCGGAGCTCGCTCACCAAAGCTAGGGTCGTCATCGTAGACTGCATAGTCGATGCCCGACGTCGACGCCACCACCGGCATCGGTGGCTCGGCATGAGACGGCGAGACCGGCGCAACCTCAGGCGGACGCGGCGCCCGCGACGGCGTCGAGGCTCCACCGGCCCGGCTATCGTCGAACCGGTGCTCTTCGTCGTCGTCCTCCACAAAAATCGGCCGTGACTTCTTCTTGCTCGATGGTCTCGACAGCGATGAGTCCGAGGTCTGGATCCGCAGCGGGCGCACACCGCCGGAGGACTTGCTGGGTGAAGCGGACGCAGAAATGGTCGCGCCAAGCTCAAGGTCGGCCATCAAGTCGGCTTCGTGGTCAGCCACCTCGGCGTCGCGGTCGGGGAGGGCAGTGGGAAGGACAAAATCGCCGATACCAATGACACCGCACGCCACACGGGCTCCGGCGTTGCCGGTGGTCTTTGAGTCGGCCGCTGAGCCCTTGCCGAGGTCGTCCGGATCGGCATGGACGACCACAGCCCGGCCCACCACCGAGCGCGGGCCCGAGAGCGAGATGTGCTTGTCGGCAAAGGTGCACGCCACCATGCCCGACGCAGACGCCAGAACGTTACCGAGATCGCCGGCGTGACGGACAGCATCAAGCGGACCACCGTGGGTGCAGCCCTCGGGGTTAAAGTGTCCGCCTGCAGACTTGCATCCTTGCGAGAGGTCGCCAAACGCGTGGACGTGGAAGCCGTGCAGACCAGCAGAAAGGCCCGAGATGACGACGTGGACCACAACCGCAGCATCGGGCGAGGCCTGCTCCATCATCACCTTGCCGCGCACGCCTTCGCCAACGAGCACCGCAGTGGCCGAGGTAATGGCGTGGGCGGCCGGCGCGGACGTCGCAGCAGCCGTCGTCGCAAACGAGCCCGCCGCGGTCGTGCCTGAGTCCCCAACCACAGTCCACTGCCCGATGCTGGCGCTCGGAGCGACAGCCGGGTGCGGCAGGCCAAACGGTGGCAGGCAACCGCTCGTACCCGTGCTCGCGCCCATCCACACCGGCATGCCGTACGACGAGCCAGGAGCAAGCGAGCCAAAGAACGGGCCAGGACGGGAGGCAGTCCACGACGCTGCTGCGTGCCTAGCACGACGCTCCTCGCGACCCGCCAGCGACTTGACCTTCTTCTTGGACGACGACGACGACGACGACGACTTCTTCTTGCTGGCCTTTTTGCCCTTACCCTTGCCCTTGGCCTTGATGGCGGTCTGGTCGTTGTTCGTCCGGGTCATGGCTTCGAACCATCCAGCAGGCAGAGCAATGCCTCCACCAGGCATCGACTGGTAGTAGCCTGCTTGAGCCATGGCTCCACCGGCCGGCACCATGCCTGCAGTGTACGTCGGGTAGCCGCCGGGGTTGGTCGCCGCACCCGACAACGTTGCGTTGCCAGCAGCCGTGTAGAGAGCCGCAGCGTACTGCTGCTGCGACGGCGAGTACGGGTTCCAAGCGTACATAACGGGTGTGACACGCAGAGTAGTAGTAGAAGAGGAGAAGGGAGGAGAACTGGAGGAGGAAGAGCCGTGTGTCCACCCGCTCCCTCCCCTTCTTCGCTGGTCTGTGTTCGGTTGTCGGCAAGCCGGCTGGCTACGACCTTTTCCTCCCGTCTCGCGATCAGCCGCGATCGATCACATTCTGATCAAGGCCTCCTCCTTTCCCTCCCCCCCCCCCCTCTGCTTCAGCATAAGAAGCGGCATACACACACACTCTTCTTCTTCCGCTTTGTGCTGCATGACTTCACGACGGGGTGGAGGCTCGTCGTCGTTGGGGGGAAATGCAGCGTGGCGTAACATGCATCTGGGTGGAGGGACGGCACTTTCGCTGCATGGCTCGTTCCTGCCGGGTCCTCCGCTGGCGGCGACGACGGGCAGCGCAGGCGTGGCAGCCCACCCGTCAGGACTGGTGGCAGTGGCGGGCGGGCGAGTGCTCTCACTCAACCAGCCACTGCCGCTCCCACCGCTGAGTGCACCGGCGCCGCTGGAGGGCGTGCATGCGGTGGCAGCTGTCTCACTGCGGACGCCCGACCCCCTCGGTGGTCCGCTGGCTTGGTCGCACGCACTGCTCGCTGCGCCGCTTGCGGCTTCACCATCCATTGCCGTTGTTGGCATCGACGACGTGCTAGCAGCGGCGGCGACGGCACCGCTGTCATCGTCATCGGCAACCGCACACACAGTCGGGATCCGCGACTCCACCTCGCTGCCCGGCGCCCAGCCACGGAGCGTGCTCGGCGGGACTGATGGGCGCGGAAGTGGTGCATCAACGTCGTCACGTCGGCGGAGCCGTCGTGGTGGTAACTCAAAGCAAGGAAATGATGGCAGCACACTCCCGGCGGTAGCGCCGCGCCTGTGGCTCGAGCCCAGCGGCGGCTCGGAGATGGGATTGTCGCCGTTTCGGGCTGTGGCGGCTGCACCCGCGCCGCAGGGCACTGATCCGCTCTTTGCCGCTCTTCACGGTGGCACTGTGCTTGTGTGGGCAGTGGGTGATGGACGTGGAGCACTTCAGGCTGGAATCACTGTTTCCAAAGCGCCAAACCTTTGCGTCGACTGGTCACCGCTCTCGCGCGATGTGCTGGCGGTTGCCGGCGTCTCAGGCTCGATCAAGCTGGTCGACTTGCGAGCGTCAGAGGGGCTGAGCTGGCGGGCGGCAACAGCGCATGGAGGAAAGTCGGTGACCTCGCTTGCATGGTCGCCTCTGGTGCCGTCGTGGCTGGCATCTGCTGGCGACGACGGTGCAGTTAGGGTGTGGGACGTTCGGCGGAGTACGCGACCTGTCCTGGATCTTGCCGCAGCGTCGCTACCCGGCCCACCAACCTGCCTTGCGTGGTCACCCTCGCACGCAGATCATCTCGGGGTCGGCACGCTCGATGGCTCGGTTGCCGTCCTCTCGCTCGCGCGCCCGCCGCACTTTACGATTGCCGACGCATCGCTCGGGCCGCTCTCAGCCTTTCCAGTCTGCGCGCTTGCTGCAGCTTGTACACTTCCAGAGGCATACCATGCAGTCACACTCAGCGGAGAGCTCATCTCATTTGCGCTTGACGAGATGACCTTGGCGGCTCTGGCCGAGCCCGGTGCTGAGGTCGGGCTCGCCCGATATGCTGGATCGGGCAGCGCGAGCGACATTGCTACCGCGGTGTATGGGCGCAAGTTTGACGAGGGGTTCAGGGCCATTGCTGACGGTGCTGCACGGTTGCAGGCACGACACAGGACAAGCGATGCTGGAGCGCTTCTGGACCTCTGTGTCCCACGCACGGCCCCCGGCGTGTTTGACGAGGGCAATGAGGGCGCGCTGGACGACGACGAAGCTCGGGCCGCGTTTGGCTCTGACCTCGTCTCGTTTACCTTTAACGTTCCGCCGAACTTTCCGTCACGAATGGCCTCGCTGCCGTCGCGTGGAACGCGCGAGGCACTTGCTCGGCTCAACCTCTCGCTGCGGCTGCACTCGTGGGTGGCGGCTGAAGACGTGGCTGCTCTCCTGGGCGCGTTGGACACGATTGTGAACGCGACGTCGGAGGCGCTGGCTGGCAAGACGGCGCTCCGCATTCCTGTAGCGACGCTGGTGGACATTGTAGACGTGCTGGCTGCAGCAGGCAAGCACGTGGCAAGTCTTGACTTTGGCCTTCGGCTGGCGGCCGAGTTTGAGACCCACGGACGATGGCCTGAGTTTGTGCCGCTTGCCGAGGCGCTGCTCACGCCAACGATCTACGACGCTGAGCTGGCGCCGCTGGGAGGGGCTGATGTAGCAGGCGAGGAGACGCCTGCTGCTGCAAGCTCGTCATCAACGACGACAAGCACGCTGCGGCTGCCGACGACGACACAGACTCTCCGCAAGCCGCGCAGTGTGGTTCCGGAGGCACAAGTGGCGGGTGCCGTGTCGCCGCGCAGTTTTCGCGCGGCCGACGACACCGAGGTGGCCAAGCACACCGTGGCACTGTCGGGAGCGCTCGAGTCTGCCAAGTTTGTGGTCTCACAACTCAAGCTGGAGCGGTCGCTGCGTCTGGCGCTGGACACGCCCAACTGGGCAGACGCTGTGGTGGATCTTGTCGACTCGTCGGGCGTCCAAGCCCACACTCTGCTCTCAATCCGAGTGCTGGAGGCGTACCTACAAGCACTGATGATCCGGCAGCAGTCAGGGATGGCGTTTGTGTTTGCGTCGAGAATTGCGCACAAGCTCGCGGACTTTGTGTCTGGCCTCGCGCTGTGGGCGTACGTGGACAACCACATTGTGCCGGGGCTGGAGCGGGCGGTTGAGCTTGCGGTTGAGCTTGCGGGCGAGAGCAAGGATCCGGACGCGGTGGTCGATGTTGTCATCGACGTCGTGTACATTGTGTATCAGCTGGAGGAGGCGACGGACAATGCGGCGAGAATTGCGGGATGGATCGACAAGCTCAGCGAGAGCTTGGAGAACGCGCTCGAGGCACTGTGTATGCAGTCGAGCGAGGCCGAGGAGGAGGCTGTGCTCATCGCGAAGGACCTCATCGAGGACGTGGCGAGCTTGGCCAAGAATCCACGCGGGACCCGGCCGCACGTGTTCAGCGCAGCGGTGAACGACCTCGTCAACATGCTTGACACGTTTCTGCCGCCGGAATAGTGAAACGAGGCATCCGTTACTTGTCGAGAAGCGATTCGTCGACGAGGTTGAGAGTGGTAAAGACAATGCCGAGCAGGCCGCACACGACGCCGACGGCGGCAGCGACCCATGTAAAGCCGCGCTGCAGCGACGAGGCCGACGAGCGGCGGGTGATGACCCAGTAGGCGACGGCCGGGATGACGTAGACGATGGAGACGCCGTTGATGGAGCCGTTGTAGTCGACGACGACGCCGATGTTGGGCACAACAATGGCAATGCCAGCAAAGAGCAGCGTGGTCACGACGGAAATAATAGAGAGAAGGCGGAACGAGTGCTTGGACTTTTCGACAAAGAGGTCGAGAACGTTTTCGCGGAGCGCGTGGTTAACCAGCGGGTAGGTGGAGAGGATGTTGACCGACATGGCGAGGCGGGCGGCGAGGACAAGCTTGGACTTTTGTGGGTACGACTCAAGAATGTCCGAGAGCGTGTTCGTGCCAAAGGTAAAGTAGCCGATGATGGCGACCGAACCATAGACCGTAAAGCAGAGGACAAGGGTGGCGATGACGCAGATCATCATGCGCCGCGGTGAGCGGTTGTTGAGCTCGCGATAAAATGCCGGCAGATTGAACTGGGCCGTGAACGAGATGACGGTGAGCGGAAAGGCGAGGAAGAAGCGTGGTGTGGCGTTGACAACCTCGACGTCAGCCTTTGAGATCTCGCCCGAGTGCTGACTGAAGAACTGAAAGATGACGACAAAGACGACGTAGAGGATGGCTGCGACACCAAAGAACGATGTGTGGCGCAGGGCGTGCAGGTTCTTGAGCAGGGCGTAGGGGAGGAGAATGCAGCCCATGGCGGCAATGACCAGCCGGCGGTTGAGAAGGATCGAGTCCGGATGCAGCCAGTAGCCGAGCGCCGAGGTAACAAAGTCGCCGAGCAGGACGAGGTAGCCGATCGAGGCAAACGAGGTGTAGCCGATGATGAGCGCCTGGGTGACAAAGCCAGTCCGCTCACCGAGAACAGACTCGACCATGCCACGGAACGAGAACTTGGCGGTCTGCTGGACGCAGACAGTGAGGACCCAGAAGGACCAGATGGACATGAGGCAGGCAAAGGTGAGGATGCCCATGCCACCGCCCCAGCCTGCGCAGCGGAGCGCAAAGGGGAGCGTGAGAATACCCGAGCCCATGATAGTGTTGGTCAAGTTGATAATCGTCGAGAGCATGCTTGCGTGCGCAAGAATGGGCACGCCATCGTCGTCCATGTACTGCAGCGTCCCGTCCGAGTCGGAGAGCTTGAGATGCGCACGAAGATGAGCCCCGATGGTCCCGTAGCCACCGGCATACACCGGGAGCGTTCCCCCTGCAGGACCAGCACCAGCAGGCGCCTCTCCAGGCAGCAGCGCGCCGCCCGAGTGCAGCCCTGTGCCCGAGTGCAGCGTACCCGGGGTGGATGCCTCCGAGTTGAGCGAGAGCGATGACGGCGGGGTCCTCAAGAGCGAGGGGCGCGACGGGGCGGCGTAGGGCGAAGGGACTGGAGCATAGGGTGCGGGAGCATATGGGTTGTTTGACGTCGCCGAGCCTGCCACTCCTCCCGTGTGCGCCAGCGGAGGCGAGTCCGACACAGCAGGCTCACCGCCAAAGGTCTTGCGCTTGATGGGCGAGGTGGGGTTGATTGACGGCGGGGTGTGCAGGGCACGCCGCGGGGAGGACATGGCGAGAGGGGAGGGAGGGGTACAGGGCGATGGGTGGTGGTGGTAGTGGTGGTGGTGGTAGTAATGGGAGTGGGAGTGGTGTGTGTGTGTGTGTGTGTGTGAGGAAGGGGGGTGGAGGGGAGAGGCAGGCAGTGGGTGGGGGTAGGCGGGGAAGGGGAGTTGCTGGCGTGGCACGAGGCAACGGCAGCATGACTGGCACTTTGGGTGGGGCGGGAGGGGGGGGTGGGAGGAGGGGGGGGGAGATGGTGTCTGGTGATACGTAGGGATCGGAAACGGAGAGACAGGGTAGAATTCCTTGTATGATGGGGGTATGTGTGAGTATATGATGTGTATGATGTGTGTGTGTGTGTGTGTGTGTGTGTGTGTGTGTGTGTGTGATGTGTGTGATGTGTGTGATATTTGATGTGTGTGTGAGTGTGGTCATGATCAGCATGTGTGTCCCTTGTGTCGGGGGGGAAGGGAGGGCGGGGAGGGAGGGTGGAGAGGAAAGCAGACATAGCTGGTGTCAGACGTGGTGGTGGTGGTGGTGATGGTGGTTGCACACTCGACTCTGGTGGGCAAGTGCGAGTCTGTCTGGGCTTGGGCTGTGCTCTGCTTGTCTGTGGTCTACCGTCTAAGTCTGTTGGCTCTGGTTGTCGTCACCTAGTCCGTGGTTGTCGCCGCCTGTGGCGCCTGTGGTCGTCGCCTCCTTTGGTCATTGTCGCCACCTTGCAATCATTGTCGCCGCCACCTGTGGTCGTTACTATCTTACTGTGACCGCGTTGCAGGCAGGATTGATCTGATCGTGTGGCTCACTTGCTGCGACGGCACTGTGATTGCACGCGTCGTCATCACGGAGAGCGTGTCGGTTGCCTGTGCCGAGTCGGAGCTATGTCGCGGGAGACGGGGTTCGCGCAGGAATCAGAGTCGTCGGCTCGGTTGACGTATCCAGCATCGGACGGCACTATTCGAGTCTCGTTCTCCGAGTATCTGCGTGCATGGGCGTCGATGGCTACGGCAGGTCCGGGGTCAGACGTGCTAGGTCCGGGGTCGGACGTGCTGGCTGCGGGACCTCGGCCCGAGTTGGCAAGCAGTGCTCCAGTGCAGTTCCAGACTAGAGCTGAAGCTGCTCATCCGTACGTCCGCCAGCTGGTGCGTGGCCGCTTTGCTCCGCCGCCACCACAACGAGTGGACCCTGTCAAGTTTCGCAAGAAACGCATGGCGCAGATGCGGTCTATGTACCGCACTGGCGCGGCAGCATCGCGGAACTGGGGCGACGCTGGCTCGGCATCGCCGGGCTCCGCCTCTCCATCGTCGCTGCTATCGCCGTCGCTCTCGCCATCGCTCTCACCGACGTATTCTCCGTCGCACTTGCCTTCGCACATGCTGTTCATCTCGACCTCTGTCTCTGACAACGACGAGGACTCGTGCTCGGACAGCTGCCCCGAGTCGTCGAGTGGAGTGCTGCCGGTGCCAAGCCTGCCGATGCCGATTCACGCCGGAGTGCCTCCTGAAGACGATGAGCGCCAGGTGTTTATCACCTCGCTGGAGGAGCGCCGGAGGCGGCTGGGCAAGCCGGAGCGAACCATGTCGTCGCCGCTCATGGCCATCCCGTGGGACGAAAACCGGACCGGAGCGTACTACCGACTCAACCACCGGACGGGCTCGCCGGCGTCGTCTATCGTCTCCGAGTCGCTCATGACGGAGGACATGGACGAGCTGGCCGATGAGCTAGTCGAGTGGACCCAGGCTCTGCCCCACTTACAGTGAGTAAACGATGAACGTGGTGGAGCTAAAACATGAGGTTGCTCGCTGCCATCTCGATTGAATAGTCAGCCGAGATGTACTCCTGGCGGACGACTGCCTCGTCCATCCCGGTCATGCTGGCCAGTGAAGCAATGGCATCGATATCGGTTTCGGTCAGCTCACGCGGCTCAACCGGGACTAGCCGCTGCCGCGGCATTCTCAGCCCGCGGCGAGGTGCCTCGCCGCTTTCAAAGACAACGGCATTGAGCTCGTTGACCGCCCCGTCACTGGACACAATAGAGTTCGGGGCAATGCCCATAGTCGCGGGAGGCTGATCGTGCGACTCTGAGGCCAGGGAAGCGGGCTCAGACGGCGCAGTAGCCGCTCCGGCGGCAGACGTGCTGCTTGAAGCCACAGCAGCGACTTCAGCACCAGATAGCGCCGCCGCCAATGATGCAGCCGCGGTCACCGCCTCTTCACGGACCTCGCTTCGCGGCCTGCGTGACGGCTGTGGCGGCGGCGGCGGCGCGCCATGGAAGGCCAGAGCGTCGAGCATGGCCACGCGATGAAGGCCAAGAACAAGACCGGCGTCAGGCTCTGCCTTGTCGAGTGCCTCAAGCACCTGGTCCAGAAACGCAGCAGGCTCCGGTGAGGCCTGCACAGCCTCCCAAGTCGCCGCCCCCGCGGGTCCGCCAAAGACGGTGCGGACCCAGGCCAGGCCTTGGGCGCCAGCACCGCCCGTCGCCAGACTCGGCGGCCGGTTCCCCGCCACAGCCTCCACCAGCATCGCCACTACAGCCTGTCCAGCCTCGTCGCCCATGGTTGCAGAAGGTCGGGCGTTTTGGAGTGGGCTGTCGTTGGCCTGGGCCCTGCCCTGGACCTGCGGTGCTGGTTGGCCATGTTGCCTGCCCTGGCCCGCCTGGCTTCTGTTGCCTTCGTTCCAATCGCCTGCGTTTGGTCGGCTATGTTTGGTGGGCGGCTGCGTTTGATCTAGATGAAACCTTCTTCTTCGGACCACTCGCCGTCGTCGCCGTCAAAGGCTGCGGCGTCAAGTCCTCCGTGGAGGCCAACCGAAGCCGATGATCCAGCTGGCTGGCGTGGGTTGCCAGAAGCGTCGGTGGCTGGCGGGTGCAGCGGCGTGCGCGGCACCTTGGCTCGCTCGCCAAACGCTGCTACATACTCGTCGTAGTCGCCAGTGAGATTCGCCGGCTTGGGTGGTGGCTTGGTGACCGAGACTACAGCCTTGCCCACAATCGGAATGACAGGATCGTCTTCTGGCGCTGGCGGCGGGAGCGCGTCAGCAAGCTCGGTCCGCTCTGGACTGGTCATCATCGTCAGCGAAGTGTCGGCAGCGTGAGGGCCTGGCGGCGTCCGCGGGATCTTGGGCCGCGAAAGTAGTGGATCCGGTGCAATACCGCCGTCTGCGTTGCTTGCGGCAGCCACTGGCTCGGAGTTGGACGCGGTCTTGTCATCGTCACCGGTTCCAGACTCGATCTCTTCGGCGAGCAGCGAGTCATCGGTTTCGATATCAACGTCGTCGTCGTCGTCATCGTTGTTGTCGTCATCGTCGTTGCTGGCGTGAGAGTCATCACTGAGTCCATCATTGCCACTGCGATCGTAGCCGCTTGCACCACGGAGCGAGTCGGATGACATCGGGCGCGAGGATGCGCGCGACGACGACCGGCGTGACGACGGGCGAGATGAGTGGCGCGATGCGGGGCGCGACGAGTGAGCCGGGGTCCGCGGGCGGGCCGGAATGGCGTCATCGTCGCTAGCGGCTTCAGTGGCAGCAGCACGGGCGGCTCGGGCCTCGTCATGCTGGGCGAGCGAGGCTTCGACGCGCTGCGACTCGTGGAGCGCCTCCTCCAGGTCGGCTAGGTATCGGGAGCAGAGGAGCTGCTCGCCTTGCAGCGTGTGCGGCGGGGGACGGAGCGACTCGGGATCCTGCTCGACAAGGTAGTCATCGGCCTGCTCCTGCTCGTCGTGGTCAACTTCGTCCTCCTCATCGTCGGAGATCATGCCGTCGGTGTCGTCAGCGTGGAGCTGGTACATGACGTGGTTGATCTGAGTGGCCAGCATTTCGTCTGCATTGTCCTTAAGGTTGAGTAGAAAGTCTTCAAGGCCGAGCTCAAAGGCAGCATCCTTGATAGCCGAGAGCGAGAGGATCGAGTAGAGCGTGCCGTTGGCGTAGGTGCGGATTTCTTCGTGGTCAAACTGGAGGAGGACCATGAGGACGGCAATAACATCGGACGCAACAGCTTCGCACTTGTTGCGGCCGGCGGAGCGGAGAGAGAGGTTCATCAGCAGGGCCGCACCGTACTCGATGGTGTACTCGGAGAGCACGTCGGGGTTGCGGAGAATTGAGGTGAGCCAGGCAATGATGTTGAGCTCGATCATGCGCGACTGCGGCGTGCGACGGATGGAGATCTTTTGCAGTGCACCGAGCGCGTGCTGGCGGGTGAGGTTGTCGTCGGGCTCGGCAAACATGACCTGGGCAAGGACCTCGACGCACTCGGCAGTCGAGAGCAGGTACTCGCGACCGGCGGCTTCGGACGCCACAAAGTCGACCAGTCGCGCGGCGTACTCTTGCAGGTATCCATCCGAATGAAGAAGGAGATGTGCAAGGAGCGACATGCGAGTCCCGTCTGTTGCCCGAGTCTGCTCGTGGAGCGAGAACAGATCTGACTCGATGTACGACTGCATGACCCGCTTGCGAAGCGCTGCCGGCCGCGACTGGGTCAATCGCCACCGCAGCGCCTGCAGAATGAGCGTTCGCTCCTGCGCCGAGAGCGCCGACTCCGGGCCGAGGTCAGTGCGGACCTTTGTGTATGCCAGCGGTGCAAAGGTGGTGATGATAGCCATGCCAGGGTCAGGAGCATCGTTGTCAGGGCCGACGGCGTCGTCCGAGGTGGCATCGGCGGCGGCTACCGGCGGCGCCGGACCGGGTGAGACGGGGCCACCCTGTAGCTCGGGGTCAAATGAGACCGGCGGGCGGCGCGATGAGAGTGCGTCTGGGCGAGGTCCAAGCAGCACGTCCTCGCCGCCAAGCGGAATGACGTCTGCCGAGACGAGGCGGGCAGCGAGCGCGCCCATGTACTCGGGCGAGAGTTGCGAGCCCTTGAGAAGCGCGGAGACGACATCGGTCAGCTCGCGTGAGAGCGCCAGCGTCTGCTGGTACTGCAGCGAGGCGACTTGGGCGCGGTCGTTGGCGGCGGCGACGGCAGCGGACGACGCCCCGCCGGCCTTGGCGCTCTTGCCATCGCTTGCCCCACCCACGAGCTGGGCAGACGAGTTGTGAAGAACCGCAAGCTGGGGAAGCGAAGTGGTGCGGAGGACGGCGGCGAGGAAGCGGTCGAGGCGGAGGAGCAGGCCGCCGGCCCACTCGTCGAGGAACAGCTCTCGAAACGAGGGATGCTCGGTCGGGTTGGGCACGTACGGCAGAGCGTAGTAGGCCACAAACTCGGAGGTCTTGCACAGCGCGGCGCCCTTTTTGGCCAGAAAGGCCTTGAACATGCTCATGGCTCGCGGGAGGTCGGCATCGTCGCGCGGGGTCGTGTTCCACGAGTGCAGCGGATAGATGGCAAAGAAGATGTGGACGTAGAACTCGAGCTTGCGTGCGGTGAGGTCCTTGGCAAGCAGCGATGCCGGAAGATGCTTGCCCCACAGGCCAAAGAACTTCTTAGCATCGCCGCGCTTGAACGCCGAGAGCAGCGCGGCCTGCAGCTTGGCGTTGCGTCGCGCATTCCGGATGGCTTCCGACTGCCGGCGGCGCTTGGGCGAGAGCGGCTGGCCCTTGCGCTTGAGCTCGGCTTCGAACGCTGTCAGCGTCTCTTCAAACTCACCGTATACCAGATACTCGCGAACAATGCCATTGACGGCATCGGTATCAAACCTGGCGCCTCCTCCATCCTTGGTGCCATCTCCCTCGCTTCCCGAGCCATCGGCCCGCCGCCTGCGTCCACGGGCGCCGGATGTACTCATGTGCGAGGCGTGTACAAAGTGCAACAAACAGTAGCTCTACCGTTGCGTGTATGCACCAGAGTAGACGGTGTGGATTGAGGTGGTGTCCGTGAGTGAGGTGGTTGTCTGTGGCTATGACTATGGGTAGCCGCACGCCTCTCCTGTCCCGCGGTTGTTGGTCGGCTGTCGGCGCCAAAACAGTTCGTTGGCCATTGGCCAATCCTCGCCTGGCCACGGCCAGCTGAGCTCCTGATCGGATGTCTGCACCAAAGCCTCCTATGTCGCGTTGACGTCACAAATACAACTTCGATACTGGCCAAACACGGGGCCTCGCCCGCATTGTCAGGCAAGGCTTGGCGTGCGTAGTGTGCCTCGATCTGTGGACGGCGCAGCGCATGATGTTACTCTCGGCCTGCCTCGACCGGCCACCGGCCACCAGCCGTCGTTCGCCGGCCACTAAGCCATCCGGCCACAGCTTGCCAACGAGCGACAAGCAACCCGTCGTCTCCCCACCCAACTCGCACACACGACCAGCGCGTCAACATGCTGCGTTCCGTTCGTCTTACGGCTCTTGCCCCGCGCCTGGTACGGGACTCACTGGGTGAGCGAGTGTGGGGTATAGTGTGGTAGTGGTGACTGTATTGTGGTTGGCTTGTGATGGTCATGTCCTGTCCTCCCCCCCCTCCTTGGCCCCTCTCGCTGGCTCTGTGTGGGAGGGGTGGATGAGGCATTTTTTGGGAGACGCCACCAAGTCGAGGAGTGCGGGACGTGGGAGAAGAGCTGGGTGGGAGAGAATGTGGGTGCTGGACAGATATAGCCAAGACTTATGTGTGTGGATGTCATTGGGCGCTGTGTGCGACGGGGTGCATGCTTGCTGGACTGGTGGGGTTCCGGAGATAGCGGGCTGGATTCGCTTCGGCTGCCAACGCCGCTGCTGCCGAGGAGCAGGACGTGGTGGTCATCGGTGGCGGGCCTGGTGGCTACGTCCACGCCATCAAGGCTGCCCAGCTGGGCATGAAGGTCACCTGCGTTGAGAAGCGCGGCTCTCTGTACGTGTTGCGGTGAGGGAGATAGTTGGAGAGGGAGCGGATGCGTGAGCGGGTGTGGGTGCGGGTGTGGGTGCGGGTGTGGGTGCTAGAGCATGCGAGCCACTTACTCACGGCGATGGCGATGGCGACGGCGATGGTGATGGCGACGGCGATGGTGGTGGTGATGGGGATGACGGTGGAGTGTAGTGGCGGTACCTGCCTCAACGTTGGGTGCATTCCGTCGAAGAACCTGCTGCACACGACGCACCTGTACCACCTGTCGAAGGGGTACTTTGAGGAGCACGGAATTGTGGTTCCCGGCGAGGGCACGTCGATCGACGTGGCCAAGATGATGGAGTCCAAGCAGGAGGCTGTGACGACGCTGACTCGCGGTATCGAGGGCCTGTTCAAGAAGAACGGCGTGACGTACTCGCAGGGCTGGGGCAAGATCACGTCGCCGAACGAGGTGACGGTCGACCTCAACGACGGCGGGCAGGAGGTGATTCCGGCCAAGAAGATTGTGATTGCCACCGGTTCGGACCCGATCGAGCTTCCGTTCATGCCGTATGACGAGAAGAAGGTGGTGTCGTCGACTGGCGCGCTGGCGCTGGAGGAGGTGCCCAAGAAGATGGCGGTCATTGGCGGTGGCGTCATCGGCCTCGAGCTCGGCTCTGTCTGGGCGCGGCTCGGCGCCGAGGTCACCGTCATCGAGTTTATGCCTGCCATTGGTGCCGGTATGGACGCGGAGATTGCCAAGAACTTCCAGCGCATCCTCAAGCGCCAGGGCCTCAAGTTTATGACGTCGACCAAGGTGACCGGCGCCGACACTTCGGGCGACGGCGTGGTCATCCACACTGAGGCCGCCAAGGGCGGCAAGGCCAAGTCGCTCGACGTCGATGTGGCTCTTGTCTCGGTTGGCCGCCGCCGGTTCATTGACGGGCTCGGCCTCGAGGACGTCGGTGTGGCCACCGACGAGCGCGGCATGGTGCTTACTGACGAGAACTTCCAGACCAACGTGCCGTCCATCTACGCCATTGGCGACGTCCGCGACGGTGCCATGCTCGCCCACAAGGCTGAGGAGGAGGGTGTTGTCCTCGCCGAGGCTTTCCACGGCGAGGGCTTTGCTCTTGACTACAACTCGATCCCCTCGGTCATCTACACCTCGCCCGAGGTCGCCTGGGTCGGCAAGAATGAGGAGGAGCTCAAGGAGGCCGGCGTCGCCTACAACGTCGGCACCTTCCCCATGGCTGCCAACTCGCGTGCCAAGGCCTGCGGTTACGCCGACGGCATGATCAAGGTCATCGCCGACAAGGAGACCGATGCTATCCTTGGCGTTCACCTCATCGCCGAGTCCGCCTCGGAGCTCATTCCCGAGGCCGTCCTTGGCGTCGCCTTTGGCGCCTCGTCCGAGGACATCGCCATGACCTGCCACGCCCACCCGACCCAGTCGGAGGCCCTCAAGGAGGCGTGCATGGCGGTTACCGGCAAGCCCATCCACTTTTAAGCAGAGGGAGTGTGTTAAACGCCTGCGTTGGAGTCAGAGCCAAAGTCCAGGGCAGTGCCGTGGGAGGAGAGGGGAATTGGACTCGCAACCGGCTGGCGGCCGAATCTTCACCAACCGCCCGTTTGCGGGCGTCAACTGATGACTAGCGAACACACTCCACATCAGCAAACATGGCGGACGTGACGACAGCGCTGGCGCTGGACCGCTCGTTTGGGTTTGCAGGTATGTCCTGGTCTCTCTCTCTTCCTCTCTCTCTCTCTGTGTGTGTGTGTGGCTCTGGCTGTGGCTGTGGCTATGGCTGAGCCCTTCCTTGGCGGTCAAATTTTGAAGGGAGCGGCCGTCGCGAGCCGTTGGTTGGTGGTGAGGGGGTGATGCTGTGGGGCACGGGGAGTGCGGGAGTTTGCGGGGCAAGGCAGAAGGGTGTGTGTGTGTGTGTGTGTGGAGATGAGTGCGTAAGGAAGGATACTCATGTAAAGGTGGTTCTGTGGCTGTGCTGGACGCGCGTGTGTACGTGTGACATGGCGGGGTGGCTGGGTGCACCTACCCACTGGGCTGTGGTGGGTCACCCGGCGGGTGTACAGGAGCTGTGCCTGCGGGGCTCGTGCTGCACCCGAACCAGGAGCACATTGTGTACCCGCTCGGCTCGTCGGTAGTGGTGCGGACAATGGGGCAGGCGTCTGGTGAGCAGTTCCTTGCGGGCCACACGTCGCCAATCACCACGCTTGTGGTATCGCCGTCGGGACGGTATCTTGCGTCGGGGCAGGAGCGATTCATGGGTCTCAAGGCCGACGTGCTTGTTTGGGACTTTGAGAGCCTCCAGCTTGTTCATCGGTTTGTTCTGCACAAGGCGGGAATCAAGGCGCTCGCGTTCTCGCCCAATGACAAGTATCTGGCGTCGCTCGGCGACGAGGACGACAACTCTGTGGTGGTGTGGGACCTGGAGGCCGGGGCGGCCATTTGCGGGGCGCCGGCGTCGATGGGCTCGTCGGGCGTGGCGCACACGCTTGCGTGGCTTCATGGATCCGAGACCTCGTTTGTGTCTGGAGGTGAGTACACGCTCCGCAAGTGGGAGCTCGACCTGAGCATTCGCAAGCTGCGGGCCGAGGAGGGCCGGCTTGGGCAGCTCAAGCGGATCATCGACACGCTTGTGGTTGCGCCAGGTGACGCTGGTGTGTACTGCGGCACGTCGACCGGCGACGTGCTGTACGTCTCGCTTGATACGATGCTCTTTCGGGTGTCGGGCCCGAAGAAGCCGTTCCCCAAGGGCGTCACGGCGCTGGCGCTCACACGGCACGCCGGAGTCATTGCTGGCTCTGGCGATGGCGTTCTGGCCTCGCTCTCGCCGTCGTCGCTCAAGGTGACCAAGGTGGCGCGGCTGGCGGGCGCAGTGACGTCGATTGCGCTCGACGCGTCGCACACTGCCATGTTTGTCGGCACCGCGTCGGCCAACATTTACACTGCAGTGACCGAGACGCTTGCGACTGAGCTGCGGACGACGTGCCATCCGGGCAAGGTCAACGACGTGGTGTATCCGTGCGACTACTCGGAGGTCTTTGCCACCGCAGGCCCCGAGGATGTGCGCGTGTGGAACTCTCGCACCTCTGAGGAGCTTGTCCGCATCAGCGTGCCCAACATCGAGTGCCATTGCGTCGCCTTTGCCGCCGACGGCTCGGCTATCTTCTCGGGCTGGTCTGACGGCAAGGTCCGTGCCTTTGGCCCCGAGTCGGGCACACTCCTCTTTGTCATCAACGACGCCCATCACGGCCCGGTCACCGCCATTGCGCCGTGCGCCGACGGTGAGCGCCTCATCTCGGGCGGAAAGGACGGGGAAGTCCGCGTCTGGCGGCTCATGGCCTCGTCGCAGGTCATGGAGGCCACCATGATGGAGCATAAGGGCCCGATCTCGTCCATTCAGGTTGCTTCGAACGACATGGAGGCCATCACCGCTTCTGGCGACGGCTCGTGTATCATCTGGGACCTGGGCTCGTTCATCCGCGTCCAAGTCATGTTCGCCCCATCGTACTTTATGGCTGCGGCGTACCACCCTGAAGAGGCGCAAGTTCTCTCGTGCGGTACAGACCGTAAGATCTGCTTCTGGGATGCCTACGACGGCTCAGCCATCCGCGAGATCGAGCTCCTCGACAACTGTGCCGCGAACTCGATCGCCATTTTCGCCGACGGTGAGGCCTTTGTCTCGGGTGGCAACGATAAGCTGGTCAAGCTCTGGTCCTACGACGGCGGAGAGGTTATCGCCACAGGCTCGGGCCACTCGTCCAACATTGTCAAGGTCGTCATTTCGCCCGACCAGTCAGAGATCGTTTCTATCTCCGAGGATGGCGCCGTCTTTGTCTGGGCCGTCCCCGCAGAGCTCATCGGTCCTGTCGGCGTCGGCTCACTGCGTGCTCTCGACCCTACCGCACGCTGATGAATAGCCACTAGCTCGTGCCTGTCCCAAGCAAACAACACTTGCCCACAGTGGGGCTGGGCTGTCAGAGGAGTGTGTATTCACGCTCTCTGCCGAGCTCCTTGTCCGTATTCATACCACAAGCAGCTCTGCGGGAGGAACTGCGGCATCGGCGACGACGTCGGCGCTGCAGATGTCGAACAAGTCGAGCTTGTTGCTGCTCTGGAGAGCTGATCCGAGCTGGTTCCGAGGACGACGACGTGAGTGCGCAGGGCAGCTGGCTCGAACGATTGCGGTGGCGTCTCTCCAGTCGAGCCATTATAGGACCGGTAAAGGAGCCAATAATGATTCCAAGGATGAGTTTGCCACCTTTACAACTCTGTGTCCGCACGTGCCAATGTGTTGGTGGTGGAGCAAGTACGCGTGGGTGGTGGACGATCGCTAGTTGATTGTTTCTTTTGGGATAGGGTGTTTTTCTGGACACCTTTTTTGGTGACGAGGTGTCAAGCCGCGGATGGACAGACACGGCATTGGCTCGGCGTCGACAGACTGTGGGGGAATCTTGACGACAGACCCTGTAAGCATGATGATGAAGCACAGTTGGCAAGTACCATGCTCCCCCCCCCCCCCCCCCCTTGTGAAAGAAGAGCTGTATAGCCTGGGTGGTGGTGGGCTGTTTCAAGTGTACTCTCAAGCAGAATCCGAGAACAATTGCGGGTCAGGATCGGCACGTGCGGAGGGCATAGCTGAGACTGTGATAGCAGATGGCAGTGGCAAAGAGGAGGAGTGGAGTCATTGGGTGGCAATGGGACACAGCACTCTCACCGCAACAGCCGACACAGCGAAGGTCTGCTTTTTTGGGACAGGTTTGCAACTTGCGCTTGTGCTCAGAGACTAGCCATGTCTCACGCCTGCATAATGGCCGTCTTTGTGACAGCTTGTCTTGTCCATCTGGTGGCAGCCCACCTCGAGTGGGGACCAGCCGTGGAACTCACCGATGTGTTCGGTAGCAACTCGCCAGCCGGCATGGGTCTCCGTGACCATGAGTCGGGGCACTCGTATGTCGTTGTGGGCCAGAGCGGGAAGATTGCGTCGTCGCTGAAGGCCGTCTCAGGCATGCACAATGCTGAGTTGGCCAAGGCTGAGTTTGTGCCCTTGGCTAGCAGTGTCGAGTCCATCGTCCGCGTTGCTGCCGGGTCGGCCAACGTCGCTGCGGTTGCAAATATTTTGCCACTCCATGTGGCCGGCTCGCTCGACCACATTTGCGGGCCCGGGTGCACGGGCAGGCTTCAACTGTTTCCCTTTTCCAAGGACGCCATGGTGCCGTCGCTTCGCCTTCCGGTGGCATCTGCGCCGGCTCAGATCACGCTCTCCGCCGAGCTCCTCGTCCAGATTCATTCCGGCAACGTGTCGCACTGGGACGATGACCGGCTGGTGGAGCTCAATGGTGGCGCCGGATCGGCGTATGCCACTGCTATCGCCTCGCTCTCTGACGGCACCATTGCAGTCCACTGCACCAGCGCGGCATCGACGGCAATGGAGATCCTCCGCCAGCTTGCTGTTGAGCTTGGCATCGACTGGAACGACGGCGGCGGATGTACTCGGGTCCACGCCACCTGCCTCCAGGCTGCACAGGCGGTGTTTGTGACGACGGGACGCGGAGCGATCGCGCTCGTCTCGCAATCTGAGACGCGGATGCTTCCGCTTTCGAGTGGTGTGGCGCTCATGCCGCACCTCCATGACAACCTCGGATCGGCGGTGGTGTTCACCGAGGAGGCAGCGACTATGGCGGATCTCGAGAGAATTTCTGTGGTGGCCCCGGAGTCGATGGTATGGGACGGGACGCGGTGGCCGCTGATTGTAGTGGAGTGGATGGTCATGCTCAAGTCATCGGCGGGCGCGGGAGTGAGCGGAAGTCTTGCAGCGACGGACTGCGCGGCATGGGAGGGCCTTGTGGAGGATCTCTTCTACGTCACCGACAACCACGGGGTACAGGAACTGCTTCAGGCGACACAGGGACTCGAGTTCGCGTCGTTGACGCAACTGGGCCTGCTGCGGGAGGCGTCAGTGAGCGCCGAGTGCGGCGGCAAGCGGGCGCTGCAGTCGAACGGCATTGTGTTTGGAGCCGGAGCATCGTTCCCCAAGGCGCTGTATGCGGTGTGGATGCTTGCTTTTGGTCTCCAGCATCCTTCGGCGCCCCGGCTCGAGTACTCCGCGGTGGGATCTGGGTCGGGTAAGCGGGCGATTGTGGCAGAGCAGATTGTGTTTGCCGGTTCTGACTCTGCATTGTCCGATGAGCAGCTACAGGCGCGGGGCGACCTTGTGATGCTCCCATCCGGAGTGGGTGCTGTGGTGACGCCTGTGCACATCGAGCTGCTACCCGGGGCTCCGACTGTTCCGCTTGTGCTGTCGCGTGCGGCAGTGGCGGACATATTTATGGGGCGGATCTCGCGGTGGGACGATAGTGTCATTGCAGGACTCAATCCTGCGCTGGCGGACTACCTGCCGAGCGCGGCAATCACTGTTGTGGTGCGGTCGGACAAGTCTGGGACGACGTCGATTTTCACGGCGGCACTAAGCTCGTTCTCACCAACGTGGGCGAGTGACGGCCCGGGCGAGACATCGTACACAGATGCATGGGCGCCGGGGAGCATGGCGCAGGAGGGCAACACCGGGGTGGCGCTGGCGGTGCTCAACACGGCCAACTCCATCGGGTACGTAGTGCTCGACGTTGCGATCCAGTACGAGATGGACATGCCTCTGCTGGTGAACAAGGCCGGCAACTTGGTGGCGCCGACGCTCGAGTCGCTGTCCGCGGCTGCGGGCGAGGCAGCATCGGCGAGTGCCAGCAAGCCGGCGCTGCCGTTTGTCAAATCCGTGGTGGACTCGAAGATTAGCAACGCGTGGCCGATTGCGGGCTTCACATACCTTTTGGTGCCGACGCGGAGCTCGCAGTCGTGCGAGCAGCTCAAGGCTGTGCTGGAGTACTACAAGTGGACACTGAGCTCTGTGACTGCGGCTATGCTTGCCGAGTCGATTGGGTTTGCGCCGATTTCAGATGCAGGGCTTCGAAGCGCGATCGAGAAGGTTGTGGACGGCGTGACGTGCGGCGGGATGCGGCTGTTGTCGCCGTGTGGTGTGGGCAAGTACCTTGACGCGAGCAGTGGTGAGTGCATGTTGTGTGCGAACGGGACATACTCGTCTGCGATGACCGACTTTATGTGTGTGGGATGCGACGCCGGATGGGTTGCGTCGGCGGGCTCTGGATCGTGCGACATCTGTCCGGTGGACACGTACACGTCTGCGGACGGCGGGCAGTGTCTCGAGTGCCCGGCATTCTCACGTGCTCTCCAGGCCGGATCACACTCGATCGCGTCTTGCGCATGTGTGAGCGGGCGGTGGCGATCGCCGGTCGCAGATGCGATGATCGACGAGCTTGGCGAGATTGGAGTAGGGAGGAGCTCGATCGAGCTGTGCCTGGCGTGCCCGGCCAACTCGGAGTGTTCTGGCGGCGATGCGCCGCCATCGACGCGGCCCGGCTACTGGGCGAGCGACGATGACGCATACACGGTGCTGCGATGCGAGCCGGCGGAGGTGTGCACGGGTGGCTCGCAGTGTCGGGCGGGTCACACGGGAACGATGTGTGCGACATGCCTAGAGGGATACTACACGGTGGACGGTCTGTGTGTCAAGTGTCCACGGCATGTAACTCGGCGGCTTGTTGTGATGGTGATGCTGATGGTAATGATCATGCTGATGCCTGTGCTCACACCGCAGCACCGGCTGATGACGATGCAGGTTGCGCCGATCACGGCCAACTTTGCACAGGTTCTTGCGGCACTGACGACGCTTCAGCTGCGGTGGCACCCCGGGCTGGCGTTTATGATGCGGATGCTTTCACCTGTGCACTGGATCAACATTGCGGCACCGCCCGAGTGTGCGCTGGAGCAGTCGTTCTATCTGTCATGGGGCATTCGTGTGCTGCTCCCGCTCGCGATGTTTGGGCTTGTGCTGCTCGCGCTTTTTGTTGTGCTGGCTGTGCGGTTTGTGGCGCACGTGATGTATGTGTGCTCTGCAAGTGTAGTTGCCGGCGGACGGCTGGAGCGTGTACTGCACTGGACATCGTACCGATCACTGCGGCGGAGCTTTTCTGTGATCAGCACTGCGTCGGCGTGCTCGTTCTTTGTGTTTTCTCGCAGACGCCACTCGAGTACTTTAACTGCTTCAAGGGAGCGGGCGGGCTGTGGTACCTGCAAGCGGACCCATCGGAAGTGTGCTATGAGGGTCAGTGGATGCGGTACCTACCGCTTGCAGTGTTTGTTGTCCTGACGCACCTTGTGATGTTCCCTGTGATCATGGGCGTTGCGCTGTTCCTCGCGCGGAAGGAGCGGCGGCGGGATTCTATCGGGTTCCAGTCGTTCTTTGGATTCCTGTATCTGCGGTACACGCCGCGGTACTGGTGGTGGGAGTTTGTGGTGCTGATGCGCAAGCTGTCGACGTTTTGTCTGGCGATGTTCCTGTTTACCTCGCCTGTGCTTGCCGCGGCCCTGATCAGCATCGTGCAGGTTGTGTATCTTGTGGCGCACGTGTCGTACGTGCCGTACATCATGCCTGGGACGAACATGATCGAGGTGTGGCTGTGCGTGACCGTGGTTGTGTTTGCGGTCTTTGGGGTGTTCTTTGCGCCCGTGTTCGATAGCGAAGGCGCTGTGAAGCGGCGGACGCTGTCTGGGTGTCTCGGGCTTGTGCTTGTCGCGGCGTACCTGTTCCTGGGAATGATGTTTGTGGTGGAGTCGCTGCGGGCATGGAGCGTGGTGCGGAAGCGGGCGTACCATATTCTCACACGGCCGTGGCGATGGATGCGTGCCCCAACGGCGCATACGCGGCTGGTGTACCACCGCCACCCGGACCCGCTGATCAACTCGCGCGTTGTGCATGCACGCGAGCTGGCACCGTCGCTGGCGACGTATCTAGAGATCCGTGACCCCGAAGCAGTGGCAGACTTTGTCACACCGGGAGATGATATGGATGCGGAGCTGACGGCCAACCTACTGCACGTGAACAACTCGCTGCTCAACCTCTTTGACGTCCATGGCTCACTGCCAAGGCCACCTGCTGGGTCAAGCGTGGTGATGACGGATGCCGAGTCGCAGAGGACGCGCATCACGACCCGAAGCCCATCGGTCAAGTCGTATCAGACCACATATCGCGGGGCATCAGATGGAGCCTCGGGTGTGGAGATGGACGATGTGATGTCCGATGCCCAGGCTACCGAGTTGCAAATGTCTGGTCCGTCTTTCGTGGCAGTGTCGACGTCTGACGTGCCCAAGTCGAGCCTAACTCGCTCGCTGCCTGCACCCGAGCGGCCGCACAACATGCCATCACTTCTGCGACTCATTGATGCTGTAAGTACGTCTGATGCCCGCGGAACGTCAGGAGGCTCATCCACAGACACGGACCTTGTTTCGCGCCAGATTCAGCGTGTCCACTCGGCTGGCATGACTGCGAGTTATGGCATGGGAGTCGTGACCGATGAGTCGCGCCCGCAGACACCGTTGGCACGTGGATCACCGACCCGGATTGGTTCAACTGGCGGCGTTCGGGTGTGGTGCAGCGCGGGCGATCGAACATCATGTCGTCTGACAGCCATGCGCAAATTGCGGTGGCGAGGGTCATCTCGATCGAATACTCGGAGCAGCTGTCATCGTCGACGTCTTCCAGCGGCGAAGTCTCGCCGGGATCTGACATCGCTTTGGTCGAGCGACCAAACAAGCCTATCTCGGCGCAAGCCAGGCGTCGGATCTCGTCGGGCGACTTTTCGATGGTCATGACCAATGCCGAGCTGCTGCGGATGAAGGCGCCCAAGTCGCCTCCGATGACTCCGGGCACTGAGGCTAGGTCCGACATTGGGGCGACCGAGGTGAGATCAGCATCGGGGCGTACTCGTTCGCTCGGCAAGCCGCCATCGGGACTGGCAAGTCGGCGGAATACTAGCATTTCAAACATTCTGAAGGCACAGCAGCGGCTTGTCCCCAAGGCCTCGTCTGGAAACTCGACATCATCGGCCACCGACTCGGGCTCGGACTTGGCCGGCAACGGTGCCGATTCTGTCTCGGTCCCTCGATCGGCGACAGAGTCACAAACACCCGATGCCACACACTCGGAGCTGCCGCCACAGTCCCGGGTGCAGGAGCCCTCGCAGACACGGACGTCATCATCATCATCATCGTCGTCGTCTTCACTTCTTCTCTCGTCATCGACCTCGACCTCGACCTCGTCATTGTAGAACAAGATCAAACGCCCCCCCCCCCCCCCCCTCCTTGCCATCTCTTGGCCCGTGTACAACTGGCTCGTGTTAGTGAACCTTATCTGCAGACTGCGTCGTGGTGCGTGGCTCCCATCATGAAAGCGGATGGCTCGGTTGCGCTGCTGCCAACCGCCAGCGATGTTTGGCAGTCACCGGGAAGCAGCAGGTAGCAACTCGCCCCACGCCACCTCGCTCACTCTATTCAGCCCACGCCAAGCACACAAACAGGAGCAACAGCGCGTGCAAGGCATAGTAGAGAGAACGAGAGAGAGAGAGAAAGAGAGGGAGGACATGGCTGACCTCAGCGCGTACTCGCTCGGGGCGTCGGGGAGTGAGGGCGGAGCAGGGCAAGACGGTGGCAGAGCAGGTGGAGGTAGAGGTGGGGACAGTGATGGGGAAAGCCAACAGAGCAGCAGCCCAGTGTCTCCAACCAACAGCGGAGTGCTTATGCTGCCACATATGCAGTCTGGTCGGAGTGGACGTGTCCGACGTAAGGTCTCGCTCTCCATTCCGGATGTCATCAACATTCTGCTTGCCGACGACGACGGCGACAACGCGGCCGAGGTGGAGGGCCACATGGCCCGGTGTGGCCACAAGGGCAAGCGGGTGACGGATACCGACGCGACATGGGCGGCTCTCACCGAAGAGAAGAACCGTGGCTATGTTCGACATGACGTCTTGCTCCTCTCGGCTACCCTCCCGGGCTCGCTTGCCCTCACTGAGCTCCTGGGCATGGTCCGGGCCGAGGCGACGCTTAAGAACATGCCGGTCATTGTCATGTCGGCCACAGAGGATGCCGACGTGGCGTATCGCTGCCTGCGGGCTGGTGCTGACGACTACTTCCTCAAGCCCATCCGCGAGTCGATGGTGCGGGGCATCTGGCAAAAGGTGTGGAAGAAGCGCCAGGAGCACACGTTCCTGCAAAAGCTGGAGGAGGAGCAGACGAGGAGGCTTGCCATCGAGCAGCAGATGAACTCGCTCAAGGAGCGGGTCGACGAGGCCATCGACACGCCTATCTCTATCATCTCGCGCACCATTTCGGGCCTCATCCAGCAGGACAACCTGACCGACGATGTCCGCGCCGCGCTCCGCGACATCCTCTCCAACCTGCGGTCATCCAACCTCTACGAGCCAGCGTTTGAGAAGCTGCTGGACCAGGGCCAGGTCGACGCCGAGACCAAAAGTGGTTTGCCACCACGTTGCTGCAGCGGAAAGACTCGGACCCATCGCTCTGCACGGCCTCGGTCCGCGACATCACCGCACCCAAGGCAGCGGTCTCAAACGAGGATCTCGACTCGGGCTCGGACTTTTCGGGCTCGGTCGAGTTTGTTACCACCGACGACGAGGACAGCAGCAAGGACAAAGCCTCATACTCGTACTCGGGCGACTCTGGCTCCGGGTCGTCCGCCTCGGGATCGGGCGGCGGCGGCTCGGGCGGCTCGGGTGGCACAAGCGGCGGCTCGGGCTCAGACTCGGATTCGACGGGCGTTGTCGGCGACTCGGCCGATGGCAAGTTGCCGGCGACCAAGAAAGTGAGTGAGTCGAGTATGGCATCGGTGGAGGTCTCGTCGCGGCCACGGCGACAGCGCTCGGGTGCGTCGTCCAAGCTCAACCCCAAGTTTGCCAAGAGCGGCAAGTTCAAGGGCGAGACGACACAGACAGGTCTTCCGTCATTCCTTTACCAGCCGCATGTTGTCCAGTCGCTGCGGGACTTTACCTTTGACGTGTGGGCTTACAAGGAGGACGAGCTCTGCGATCTGCTCATCCAAATGTTCTACGACCTCGGCCTCACCGAGCGGTTTGCCATCGACTCGGACCAGCTGGCGGCGTTCATCCACTACGTGGAAGCCAACTACCATCACAACCCATACCACAACTTTCGGCATGCGTTTGACGTGACCCAGATGGTGTACTGGTTCCTGGCGTCAGGCGGTGCCGAGCTGTTGACGTACCTGGACGTGCTCGCGCTGATGGTGGCGTCGATTTGCCACGATGTCGACCACCCGGGCGTCAACAACAACTTTCACACAAACGTGTCGTCGCCAATGGCGCTCCGCTACAACGATGCGTCTGTGCTGGAGAACCATCACGCGTACTTTACGTTTGTCACCCTCTCTCAGCCCGAGTACAACATCGTGAGCGCGCTCTCGCCCGACGAGTACCGCGACTTTCGGAGAACAGTCATTGACGCCGTCCTGGCCACAGACCTCAAGCTCCATGTCGACATCTTCTCGCGCTTCTCAGCGCTCATCGCCGACTACTCGGTAGAGAAGAAGGACCATCGGAGGACGCTCTGCCAGATTCTGCTCAAGTCGGCCGACATCTCTAACCCGGTTCGGCCGTTCCCCATCGCCAAGTACTGGTCCGACATGATTGTGGAGGAGTTTTACGACCAGGGCGACCTCGAGAAGCGCATTGGCATTCCTGTTTCTGCCTTTATGGACCGCGAAGTCGGTGGCCAGGTTCAAATGACGCTCAACTTTACCGACTTTCTTGTCAAGCCGCTCTACTCGGCGCTCTCCTCGCTCCTGCCGAAGGTCTCGCTCTGTCTCGACTCACTAGCCTACAACCGCGCACGGTGGGTCGAGATCGGCGACCACGAGTCGGCTGCAGCCGCAGCCGCCGCAGCCGCAGCCGCCGCGGTCGAATCTGACACTACCACGCTCGACCGTCAGGCCACGTCGGTGCTCAGCTCGTTATCGAGCGCATCCGGGCTCGACGCAACGAGCTCGACCTCGATGCCCGACCTCTCGCCGGCATCGTCATGACCACTCCCACCCCCACAAAGCAAGCGTGAGCAAGTAGATCGAGCAGCCAACGCCAACAGCTGATCAAAAGCACCATAGCTTCTGGAGGTGATGTGACTAGTGGCATGGCCAGCGGTCGCCGTGGCCGGTGGCTTGTCGGAAGGGGCAAACTCACTCGAGTTGACGGAGAGCGGAGGCAATCCATCCTCCACCCCCCCCACCCTCAGGCACTCCACTCGGCTTGACCAGAACATATAGGTCGGGCACGGACGGAGAGCAGAGAAAGAGAAAGATAGAGAAAGAGAGAGTAGCAAGGCAAGAGACGAATGAACCGGGTCTCAACGTCAACGCAACGGGCGACGCCCATGGTACCGGCCATGACTGCGGCGGTGGCGGCGGCGGTGGCGGTGGCGGCGGCGGCTGGTGACGATTCCACGGCAGCGACAGAGTGGCGGGCGGTGGCGAGAGAGGTTGGCGGGTATGCACAAGTCCAGACGTACAAGGAGAGTATCAAGTGGGCCAAGAAGGTGGCAAGCCTTCTTCGCAAGGCTGCGGCTGCCGGGGATGCTCCTGATGGCTGGCCGCAGATGCTCTGTGCGGCGCTTGCGTCGGCGCAGATGCTGGCCACCTCGTCGACGACCCACGTCGCGGTGTGGCGCGGCATGCTGGCGGTGTTCCCGAGCGACATGGTGGTTGATGCAGTGGCTGCAGCGGCGCTGCCCATGCTGGCTGATCCGGCACCCAGTGCAGAGATTGCGCCGTCGCCCGGCGCGGCGTCGTGGGCCGTCTCCACCATGATGCGCTCGCTCGCTCCGCTACCGAAGTGGGAGGCTGAGTTTGGAGAGCTGATGACCAGGCTGAGCGGCAAGGGATCAGGAAGCCTGGGCGTTGTTGCTGCCCGTGGTCGCGCGGCGCTGGAGGCGGCCTTGGCCGCAGGAAGCGGAGGCGATGCAGTTGCCGCGGCCGATGCGACGAACGATGTCCTGGCCGCACTCGGGCTGGCCGACACTCTGCGGAGTGCCGGATGTGAGGAGGAAGAAGAGAAGGACATCACGCGGCTTGCACTCGATGTTCTAGCGGCAAGCGACAACTGCCCGGTCCACGCGCTCTTGGTTGCAGGCAAGCTCTGTCTCACCTCGGTGCTTGCCGAGATCGACGTCTGCGATGCACAGGCCACGGTGTTGGCCCTGCTGGGCACGTTCTGGCCGTCGGCGGAGAACGAGACGCCTGTGTCGATCCTCCCAGCCGTGGCGCCCGGCGCTGCGCTCTCGGAAAAACCGTTCAGCGTGTGGCCGATCCCGGCGCGCGTTGCGATGGTCCGGGTGCTCACAACCGACGTTGCACCCGGCGTGCTTGGCGCCGAGCTTGATGACGGGGCGACAAAGACGAATCTGGCCTTTGGCTACCTGCTCCCCGAAGTTCTAGCTGCTCTAGACGCCGCATACCGCGAGTCGATGCAAGCGACGACGGTGGCAGCGCTGGGCGGTCTTCTTGCGGTGGTGAGCCTCGGGCGCGAGGCGCGCGAGACGCTTGGCGGACTCAACGTGGCAGCGGTGCGCCAGGTGGTGGAGACTGTGTTTGGTTTATGGTCGTCGGTGGTGCCGGGCGTGTACGGACAGGCGCGCGAGACGCTGACGACTGTGCTCGAAGTGGCGGCCATCAAGGCGACGGCCATGCCCGAGTGGGCATGCGAGCACGAGAGCCTTATGGACGAGCTCCTTGCTGTAACGAGTGCGCTGCCGTGGATTGGACGTGGCAAGCCCGAGGCGCTGAGTGCGGTGGTGCCGCATGTCGGCATCGACGCAGTGCTTGCGGCCGAGCCCGAGGCGATGAAGCGGCTGTTTGCGCTGGCGTGCGAGGCCAATGCGCCGTGCGGACCATCGAACGCGTTTGTGGCGCTGGCCAAGGCGCGTGGAACGAGCGAGGGATGCGAGGCGGCGTGGATGCTCCCGCTTGTGGAAGGGCTGGCCACGACGCCTGCGGCCCGGCGCGACAATGTCATCATGCGCATCGTCCGCCCGCTTGTTAACAAGCAACCGCAGGTCCTCGCCCGCATGCTGGCGCTCGCCCAACAGCACGACCGGTACGCCGAAGATTGGGCGGCGGCCGAGGTTGTGCTCATGTTGGCGTCTGTCGGCCGCAAGCTCAACATGTTCTCGGTGGCCGAGCTCATCGAGCTGGGGCATTTTCCGCGCGAGCTTCTCTTTGACTTTCTCACCCATGCCGACTCGAGCCAGATCGTGGAGGCACTCTCGCTGGTGTGTGCAACGAGCAAAGTGACGGCGGAGCCGAGCGCGTTTGAGTACGAGGCTGTGCTTGCGACGCTCCCGGCTGTGGTCAATACACCCGGCGCCAAGTTTGTGGCCGACTACTCGGCAGCGCTGGCTATTTTCGTCAAGCGGAGTCTAAGCTCTCTACTGAGCGCGACGCGCGAGCTGGCGTCGCTGCTGGCGTTTGCTGGCTCAGCGGAGGCCCCGCCGGGCGTCGGTGTCGAGCAGGCGAGCGCGCTGGTAGCGCGGGCCCAGGCGGCGATTAGCTTTCTTTGCGGTCTCCTGAAGATGGTGCAGAGCTGCTTCTTCCCGGGCTCATCGCACCACCGCCGCGGACTGGCAATCAACATTGTCCACGCCCTTCTCGGGCAGTGGTTCACGCGGGACAAGGGTTCGCGGACTCGGGCATTTGACCTGTTTGTTGCATCGTCGGGCAAGCTTACCGACGCGGTGGCGAATGGAGGCTCCGCAGCAGCGGTGGCGGTGGTCACAAACTCGGGACTGCTGACCGCGCTGGAGAGCCAGCCGCTGAGCCCGCAAGCAGTGGTCGACCTCGTGGGTGGACTTGACGACCAGTACGACCGTAACCGCGAGGACATGGCAAGCGTGCTGGAGGCGATCGAGCCCGAGCTGTTTGCGCAAAGGCGCGAGGTGTACGCACCGCTCTTTACAAAGCTGTATGCTGACGGGTGGCGACGGGTCCTCCTCGCTTCACACCGTGAGACGTCGGCTGGGGCACTCACCCTCGGCTTTGTGCTCCGCATTGGAGCGGCGGCGCTGGGGTGGAACGTCCACGCCAATGGCGAGTCGAGCCAGCCGGCCGCGGCGGTCTTTGGCTTTGTGGAGGCGAGCGTGCTCGTGCTAGAGGAGCATCTCACCCGTGTGGAGGCAAGCTCATGGGAGGCGACGCTTGGTGGCGCGGCACTGCAGGGCCCGCTCTGCGTGCTCTCTGAGATCATTCGGGTTCTCAGTTCTGGTCCTGGCCGCGGAGGAGGGAGCAGCGCCAGCTTCATGGCCCAGATCGGCCGCGATGACAACTTGCGCGCGAGATGGATTCCGCTGCTGGGACGGGTGCAAGATGCAGCATCGACGCTTGTCCGGTTGGTCATGCCGATTGTGGCGACCAACGCGCCCGAGGGGACTGGAATTGACATGGGCGCAGCCGTGGCGGATGCTGCATTGGAGACTCACGAGGTGGAGGTGGCGACGGTGGCGTCGCAGACAACGCAGCACGTGATGGTCATGGTGTGGCGGGCGATGAAGGCGGCGACGGGGTTGCTCGGACAGATCGGCGCGGTTGGCGCGGTCCACAGCGTGGTGCCGGGCGAGCGGGTTGCGGCACTTGGCGAGCTCTTTCAAGAAGTGCTTGTGCGTGTGCGGCACCGTGGTGCGACGGAGTTTGCGATGGAAGGCCTGGAGGTCATGGCGCACGCGCTTCTCTCGAACAAGTGCATTGCCAGCCTCCGTAGCCTGCCAAGCGAGTGGCTGGAGCGAGCACTGGAGGTCGTGGCATCACCTGCGACGGGGGCGTCGGTGACGCGGCGGTCGGCCGGTCTACCGTTCCTCTTCTTGGCGCTGCTGCGATCGGAGAATGGACGGAAGCGGCCACTGCTGTGCCGGGCGTTCGAAGGCCTGCTGGACGTGGTCGAGGCGCCGCTGCCTCTCCACAAGCAAAGTGCAGACGCGGCGTTTGACGACGCGGGTGTACAGCCGCAGGTCCATGCATGGAACACGCTGCGGGCGCTTTTCCGCGAGTCGCAGTTTGGAATGGTTGCGGCTCGCTACCTCACGCGGGCTCTGCAGAACGTGATCGAGGGCTTCTCGTCGCCACGATGGGCCATTCGCAACGTGTGCACACTCACGTTTTCTGCGCTGCTCGCGCGGTCTGTCGGCGCGAACAAGTGCCGTGATCAGACCGCGCGGGCCAACGCGATCGACGCGGGCGAGTTCTTTGCCCGGCACCCGCGGCTGGACGCCTACCTGCTGGAGCAGGTCGAGTCTGGCACGACTGCTCTGGAGAGCGGCGGCGGAATTGTCCTTGACCCACGGCTGTATCCGGCGCTTGTGCTGCTCTCGCACCTGTTGCCGCCGCTGATGGAGCGTGCCGCGGCGAGCTCGATGGCGGCGTTCCGGCCGTTGCTTCAGCGGTGTGCGCGACTGCCCATCTACTCGGCGCGGGCGATGGCGGCGCGGGCCCTAGTCTCGACGGTGTCGACTGCCGAAGCGGCGGGTGTGGTGGCGCAGCTCTGGAGCGAAGCCGCGACGGCAACGTCGGGCAACACGCTCCATGGGCTTGTCCTCCAGATCCGAAGCGTGGCCGAGTTTGTGGCGAGCGGGCCGAGCGCAGCCGAGGCGAGCGCAGCGTTTGAAGCTGGCTTTGCGCAGTTCGGCCTGGCGCTGGCCAAGATGTCCGCGGTCGCACCGCTGGTCCGGGCAGAGGTGTTCCGGGCAGGTGAGGCACTGCTCGATCGATCGAGCGCGAGCTGGTGCCAGCTGGTGGAAGCCGGGACGGTGGAGCTGGAGGCCTGCGTGAGCGTGGCCACACGGAGTGTGCCTGGATGGGCCACGACAATGGCTGCAGTGTCGCGAGTGGTCGCGCTCGGCACCGCGACGAGCGCCAAGGCCTGGTCGACGATCTTGGTGGGTCACGCGTGCTACGAGGTCCAGGGCGCGGCGTTGGACGTGCTACTGGAGGCTGGCAAGCACGGCATGCTTGAGAAGGCGAGCGTGGCAAACGCGCTCCTTGCTGCGGTCGGGCGCGATGGGGCATACCACGAGGTGCAGGCCAAGGCGCTGGAGGCTCTGAGCCGGGTTCCAGCCTCCGTGCTTGGCAGCATGCCGGACGCACTGGCGGTTGTGACCAGCGTGGCGGAGGACTCGCTCTTTACAGCTGTGCGGTCACAGTCATTTGTAGCGCTGTCGGCCGTGATTCGGGCGCGGGCCGAGGCCGGGCCGAGCGGAGTGGAGAGCGAGTCATGGGCGACATTTGTTCAACTCGGGCTGGAGCTCTCGTCACCCGACGCGGTCCCAGAGCAGCGGCTTGCTGTTTTGGTTGCCATCGAGGCGCTTGGCGAGCACGGGCGACCCTTGATTGCGGGCGCGCTCGGCAAAAGTGGCGGATGGGAGATTGCACTCACACTTGTGCACGATGACGCCGATGAGGTCCGGCCGCGTGCCGCCAGCGCTGTGTCGCAGCTTGTGTCACCAGGCGGAGCACCGACAAACCCACAGGTGGCTGCGAAGCGGTTCCTGGCGCAGGTTGCAGCAACGGCTGCAGAGAGCGGCGGCGAGGTGCTTGCGGCGTGGGCGGCTCTGGCGCGGAAGCTGATTGCGGCACCGGGCGAGGCTGTTTCCGACAGTCTCGGCGAGACGGTGTTTGTGGACGAGTCGGCAAACGAGTTCCGCGAGGCATGGACGGTTGCGGTGTCGACAGCTGAAGCGGTGCGTGCGAGTGGAACAAGCGCGGCGGTGTCGAGCGGGCTGCCTGGGCTGGACGCGATGGTTGCGGCAGCGCCGACAGCAGAGGCAAGCGCGGCAGCGGTGCTCTCATGGATGCTCCAGGGCGAAGTGGTGGCAATGACCGCTAGTGACGATGACGCGGCGTGGAAGGCAGCCGTGGCTGCGGTGCTGGCTGTGCCGCGTTACGGCGCGGCGGCACTAGACGCGGCGCGAGAGGGCGTTGATAGTGGAGAGGACCTGGAATGAAAAGACGAGGTGTGGAGTGTCGGGCTTGGGAAGATCGTCGGTGCCGTAGAGGAACTGGTGGATGCGCTTGGAGGAGAGGCGCGTGCGTACTTTGAGGTCGCCCTTGGTGACGGGGCCGGCATCGCCGAGCTCGGGGATGGCGTCGTAGAGCGAGGGCGTGTAGTTGAGCCAGGCTGTGAGCGACTTGAGCAGCGAGGCACGGTCATCGTCGACAGAGGCGTCGATGGCGCGCTCGTCACACGTTGTGCGGAGGTCATGAAGAGTGAGCGGCGGGATATCGTCCGAGTCGTCCATCATGGTGTCTGCGAGCAGGACGTCCTCCAGCTCGAGCTGGGCGTACTTTGCAGCGAGAGCAGCCTCCAGCCGCGGGCGCGAGAGGAAACGGGTGCGGAGCGAAGAGATACCAGCGTACTGGGCGGCTAGTGGGAGTAGCGAGTCCGGAAGGGTATCAAAGGTCAGCCTCGCCTGCGATGCCTCCGGGAGCGAGGCGAGGGCGGCGGCGAGCTTGGCCGGCGAGGCAAAAGCACCGGCCTGGGCGGCGAAGACCAGGTCTGCGACGGCGCGATCCGAGGTAGCCGCGCCACGAAAGTAGGCCGCGATGGGCGAGGCACAGCGGGAACGAAGCTTGGCGTGGGCGGCGTAGACGGTGGCGGCTTGGGCCTCTGTCAGAAAGGTCGACGGGAGGAAGGAGGGCATGAGCTTGGCCAAGGCCGGGACGAGGATCAAGCCACCGGGCGCATTGAGGACAATCAGAAAGGGAAGCAGGGCCCGCAGATCGGCATTGTTCCGCTTGATGGCCTCGAGTTGGTGCCAGGAAAGACTACGCGCGCCATCGGCCGAGGCCTTGAGCGCCCGCCGAGCCGGGCGGCTTGCCTGAGTCTCGCGATACAAGCTCACCAGCCCGCGCCACATCTCGCTCAGAGCCTCCTTGGCACCGGAGAGCTGGCGCTGGATGGTAGTGCCGAGGGCACGGCTGGCAGTCGCTGTTGTGATGGTCCGCCTTCCTGCCGCGAGCATGGTGTCTGTAGGAGGCTCCGGTGGAGTGGGGTGTCACACCCGGGGGCGCGGGTGGTTGACGCGTTTGGGACATTGGCCTGCTGCCGTGCCGACCTTTGGCTAGCGTTAGAGGGTGGAGACGAGCTTTTGACAACGTGGGGTTGGCTAGGTGAGGGCGGCAAGCTTCTCCTTGAGGGCGGCGACCTGCTTGAGGAGACGCATGCGGATCATCGGGTTGCCAGCAGCGCCTGCCTTGCGCTCGAGATCGGCAATGTTGGTACGAAGGGCGGTGGCCTCGGCCGATTCGACAACTGCGGGCGCAGCAGGGGCGGTGGCGGGAGCCGGCGCAGCTGGTGTAGGCGCGGGAGCGAGTGCAGGACCACCCGCAGGGCTCGGAATGACTGGCGTGGTCGACTCGGGTGTGCCGATTGTGGGCGTGGCCGACGTGGCCGCGGCAGCAAACGGGCGAGCAGGCTGTGGGGTGGCTGTGGCACTGGGTGCCGATTGCGGAAGAGGTGCGACGTCCATCGGGGCCAGATTTGTGGCCGGTATGGCGGGTGCCGCAACCGAGTGATGGCTCGGGAGGGTGGTGGGAGCGAACGGGTTGGAAGCGGGGGGCGGTGTGGGGGCAAACGGGTTGGCGGCAGCGGGAGGCGCGGCGGCGGTGCCCAAGCCCACAGCGGGCTGGTGAGCGGGCGCGGTGTGAGCCGACGGCGGCGAAAGCCCTGGCTGCACAGGAGCGGCAGCGTGCACCTGAGATGCAGCAAGAGCAGGAGCTGAGGCAGGCGGCATGGCCTGAGCCTGCGCGCGCTCGCGCTCACGCGCCATGGCAAGGGCGATCTCGGGCGGAATATAGACAGCGCCAACGCCGTCGTAAATGATCGAGTCTTCGCCCTCGGAGAGAATAAAGGCGCTGCCGAGCTCGTTCGAACTGGGGTTCGGAAGCTTGATGCGGAGGATGATGCGCGAGGTGGTGAGCGGGGTGGCGTAGTGGGTGTGCCAGCCTACCTGGTCGTTGACGTCGTATGACTCGGTAAACTCGACACCGTACTCATCAAACTCGTCGGCATCGACAACCTCGATCTTGTAGCCCTTGATACGCTCATAGCGGATGATGTCGTCGACGCGCTCCTTGATCTGGATGGCCTTGCGCCAGGTGGTCGACCGGCCGAGGGTGTCAAACCGGGTACGGATGTCCTGCGTGGGCGGGGTGATGCCCGAGCGAAGTAACGAGCCACGGATCTGATCGGCAGCCTTTGACGGGCGAGCGTGGACCAGCAGCGCCTGACCCACATCCGCCGTCTTGTACAGCATCCGCTTGTCGTGGGTGCGGAATGTCTCGACATTGCACGGCAAATTGACCATCGATGCATCATAAACTTCACGCGGTCCGCCTTCAGCCGATCGATCGTATACAAACCGAGCCTCCTTGGCCTCCTCGTCGACTGCACCACAGGACATGACATGATGATGAGACGGGATGTGAGTTTGGGGTGGGTCGGTGGGTGGCGTCCCGACATGGCGGCTACCGAGGGGGAAGGGGGGGGGGGGAGGGAGGGAGCGAGGGGGAAGAGAGGGAGGGAGGAGGGGCATGGGGTATGTGTGCAGGTGTGTAGGGGTGGGTGGGTGCCCCTCTGTTTCCCCCCTGAAGTGCCCC